AGGTGTAACTCCAAAGATGGGACTACTCTTAACATAGAAAATTGTTCAAAGATGCTGAGAAATCCAAGAGTGGTAAATACCTACTAGATCCAGACTCAGGATCCTCTAAAAGTTTACACTCATCTTTCATTCTACTTTCTCACCATCAGGTGCAGGTGGAGGAGGCAAACACAGCAGTTACACACCGCCGATGAGCTCACTTACGGATTGCTCACCATCTTCATGGAAACCACAGGAGGCAGGGCACTGAGGGTACTGCCTCCTGTGATTTCCATGAAGATGGTGAGCAACCCAATGGCTGCAGGCTACCTCCTTGAATCCCAGAGATAACATAAGAAAACCTCCAGGAAGCAACATTCTTTACAGAAAGTTCAGTTATTCATAGAATAATGAGTTATTAGTCTGAGAGAAATGGTTAATATGACATCTTGTCCAAATCCTTCCATTTAAATAGCTGACTTTTTGTCATTTTTATTTAAGAGGCATATGTGACAGAAAACATTGTGGTGCTTCAAACTTGGAATGTTTAATGAAAATTAAATGCAGCCAGAATTTCCTGAACAGACAACATTCTGAAGGAAAGAAATGCATTGGCTTTGACTTGACCTTACTTAATGAAGAATGTGTTCCTCGTGGGCCGCAGAAATCAAAGAGTCAACCAGCAGAGCTGGCTTTTTCTCCCCCATAGGCTTCCTTGATCCAATTAGAAAACATGCCAAAATTGGATGTGGACAGAGTGCCGACCTGCAGACTGAAGGGTCCTGGGTTCAATTCCGGTCAAGGGCATGTACCTTGGTTTCGGGCACATCCCCAGTGGGGGGTGTGCAGGAGGCAGCTGATTGATGACTCTCTTATCGATGTTTTTAACTCTCTATCTCTCTCTCTTCCTCTCTGTAAAAAAATCAATAAAATATATATTTTAAAAAACATGCCACATTCCCAGCGTGGCTCAGTTGGTTGAGCATCGTCCCATGCACCAAGGTCTCTGGTTCAGTTCCTCGCCAGGGCACATGCCTGGGTTATGGGCTCAGTCCCCAGTAGGGGACATGCAAGAGGCAGCCAGTCAATGTTTCTCTCTCTCATTGATGTTTTACTTTCTCTCCCTCTTCCTTCCTCTCTAAAATATCAAAAACATATATTTTTTTAAAATTAGAAAAAATGCCTTCCTGAATACACTTTTTGCTTCTATATGTTGAAAATTATCATTGTATTCTTATATTTTTAAGAACAAGATATTTACTGCCATGCATCTTAAACTTGTTTGAATAAATATGTAAATGTATGATGTCTGGATTATATACTCTCTCTCTGCAGAAAGCCTTTTCTAGAACGTATTTTGTTGAATCATTAACTATATGGATATGTATCATTTAATTAGACTGCTCTAACAAGGATCTTAAAATGTAGTAGCTTAAAAAAAAAAAGTTTTCTCTTCCATGTAACCATTTTGAACAAAGATTGGCAAATTATGGCCTGTGGGATTGTAGGCTTGGTGGAAACCAGGTTAAATGTGGAACTCAAGTTAAAAACAAGTCTGAGAAAGGTGGACCATACTTTCCCTAAATCTAACACACACAAAGACACAGTACAAGGGTTGGAGTAATACCATCTGTCACATATGATGTAATATCATTTGTCACTGTGTCTGGCAGAATCCCCCATAATTCTGTACTTTTCCAGTTCTAGGATCTATTTCACCCGATCTAGGATGCCATTTCTTTTTTACACTTAACCCTCACTGGAATGGGGTGTTTCTGACCATTAGTGGCACCTTAGATTCCCCCTATTTAACAGACGTGGAGTCAAAGGGACGTGGAGTAAATGTTCAGCAAATGTTAGCTATTACAATTATGAGTCTCATCAAAAAAGAGGGAGCATAATGGCAGCTGTTACATTTTAAAACTGGTTGAACATCTCATTATGGTTAGAAACCGGAAAGATAACTCTTACTTTTGCACCATAATGCTCAAATTTAGAAATCTGTACATTTTGTTATGCCTGTAATTTGCAAATACAACATTCCAGCTACCAGCATCTGCACAGTAGTTGGCAAATGAAATCCGCAGCAACATAGCAGGAATGCAACCTATTTATCCTGAGGCTAAAAACAGAATTTAAAATGATTTTGAGGTAAGGTATAGGCAATGCTTAATGAAAAATACTAACAGCAGCACGAAATAACTTTGTTACTTGTTTACGTTCATTTAAATTTTTATAAGAGTCCACATCAGCTGGGAATTAAATAAATATGGACATAATAGATAAAACTTTGTCATTACTCTTTAGATAAAATGCAGAGATTTGAATTTGTAGGAAAAAATTGTATCTTCAAAAAAAAAAAAAAAAAGATGCCATCCTGGGAAGATAAGGTATACTGTATGTTTAATATGTAATGTGGAATAACCCATTTTTAAGTTTTAGAGGAACTATTTTAACTATTTTGAGTTATTGTTAACCATCCTGAGTGGAATCTTTAGGGGTTAAGGCTATATTTTGTTGGCTCGTAAATTAGTCCCTTCTCCCACACATAGGGCAAGGAATGACTGAAAAAAGGGACAGACCACTGACCCTTTGGTGGGTGGCAAGCTTAACAAGCAAAGGAACTTACATGAGCCTTGTCTCAGGTGATTGCAAGACAAGTGGATCTCTGCTCCAGCCGGCCATAATCTTAACCATTTATATTGAGGCCTTAACTGGGTCCAGTCACCCACCCAGTCTCCATGCTCTCAGCACCTTCCTCTCTCCAGGCCACCTCCTTCAACAACTCTGCTAAGAGAACAGTGGGCAGACCATTGGGGTGGGCGGACTTATTATACATTGCAAGGATGGGGGCGGGGGCGGGGGAGGGGAGAGCCACACTGATTGCCCAGTCCAGCTGGCAGGTCAACCACTGATCATGTCTTCTCCGTGACTTCTTCCAGCATCTTTCAAATTTTAAGTCTTAAGAGGACTGACTCTTTTACATATTCATTTTACTTATTTATTTTTAAATATTTTTTATTGATTTCAGAGAGGAAGGGAGGGAGAGATAGAAACATCAATGATGAGAGAGAATTATTGATTGACTGCCTGCTGCATGCCCTCTACTGGGGATCGAACCCACAACCCTAGCATGTGCTCTGATGGGAATTGAACCTCATGTTTCATAGGTTGACACTCAACCACTGAGGCACTGGTCTGGCTACGTATTCTTTTTAATTACATGAATCAGATCAACTCTAACTGAGCCTCCAGCATGCGAAAAGGTAAAATAGATGCAGGCTTTGGGTTCTGCACAAGCAAGCAAAGTGCTCAGGATCCCCTAATACAGTGTTTCCCAAACTTCTCTCATGATGTTTGACAACCCTGGTGGGGTTGTTAAAATACAGATTCCTGAATCCCAACTAAGAAGTGCAAAACTAGAATTTTTGGGAATATATAGGTAAGATTAGAGCACTAGTTAAGGATACAATTTTACCTATATGTTCCCAAAATTTCTAGTTTAGCACTTCTTAGTTGGGATTCGGGAAACTGTATTTTAACAACTCCACCAGGTGATTTGCATCACGAGAGAAGTTTGGGAAACACTGCCCTAATAGATCTCTAATTGGATTCAAAGGCAGGCTCAGATGCCTCTTACAGGTTCTAAGATTTTCCCCATCCAAGAACTTACCCAGCTGTTCTGTAAGTGCTGGATTTATTCTCTTTCCACTCAAGAGATCAAACCTCATTTCAGTCTTGTAATTTTTTTATCCCCATTACCTGGCTCAGTGTATGATTCAGATGTTCACTTAATAAAGTAATTGTCAAATGAGGGACTTGTTGAGCAGTAGTCCTGTGAAAAGAAACATCCTGAGAGTATTGAATTTTAAAAATAGCCCCAACAATGTCTCTCAGGTGTAAGCATAGTATCTCCCTTCAGGGGAAGAGGCAAAATTACAAAGTAGCTGAGTTTCTCTTTATAGAAAAATCTTTTTTTTTTTTTAATTTTACTCTGAAATGTAACACAGTACTTAAAAGAACAAAGAAATATATGTGCAGTTTAATAAGTCACAGGGGACCCAGGTCAAGCATTAAACATTGCTGGTATCCCAGGAGTATCTCCACACCCCTCAACACCCCAACTCGCCTTCTGCACCACCTCATTACCATTCTCCCCACTTCTTCAAGGAACCAAAGTCACTGTTGTCCTAAATTTATGGGAATAATTTTTATTTGTTTTACTATCTATGTTCAAATGCCTAAATTCTATAGCTTGATTTAATTCCCTCAAGTAGTGACTTCCTTGGTTCATCAAGATTCAATTATGGGCCGAAACCGGTTTGGCTCAGTGGATAGAGCATTGGTCTGCAGACTGAAAGGTCCCAGGTTTGATTCTGGTCAAGGGCATGTAGATTGGTTGCAGGCACATCCCCAGTAGGGGGTGTGCAGGAGGCAGCTGGTCAATGTTTCTCTCTCATCAATGTTTCTGTAAAAAAAATCAATAAAATATATATATATTTTAAAAAGATTCATTTATCCTTCACATTTTCAAGAATATTTCATGTCTAGTGAGCAAAGAAAGGAATGCATATGAAGTGCTAGACGACAACAATAACAAAACCCTTATATCACACACAGGTAAAATAACCTATACAAATATTGGCCACTTTCATCCTATATAATAAAAGGCTAATATGCAAATTGACTGAACAGTGGAACAACTTGTTGCTATGACATGCACTGACCACCAGGGGGCAGATGCTCAATGCAAAAGCTGCTCCCTGGTGGTCAGTGCACTCCCACAGGGGGAGCACTGCTTACCCAGAAGCCGAGCTCACAGAGAGCGTGCAAAGGGGCAGTGGTGGGAGCCTCTCCCACCTCTGTGGTAGCGCTAAGCATGTTCGACTGCCAGCTTAGGTTCCTGGACTGCGAGAGGGCACAGGCTAGGCTGAGGGACTTCCCCTCCCCCACAAGTGCACAAATTTCATGCACCAGGCCTCCAGTATAATTAGAAAAAACAATAGAATAAAAATAATTCCTAGCAATATGTTTATTTAAGCCCTAGCTAAGCTTTCATTTACAAGCAAATATTTTTGGAGGGAGAAGGGGTGAGGGGGGCAGGATTCACAAGACAATATGTTCAAATGTTATAACATCTACATAAAAATTAAACTTGCAGAATTTACAAATTAATATTCTAAACAGACATAAATTATACATCCTCTTGCAAAATCCAATCTATAGCATTTAAAAATTCATACAGTAACAATGTAAGACATTTTCTTTTTACATCCTACCTATTTACATAGCTTTTCCCACCACAGATGATACAGTTTTCATCATAGCTACCAAGTTTGCAAACATAGTGTATTTAAAATATATTTAGCAGCATATAAAAAAATTAGACAAAAGGGGAGGAAATACTACTATTAAATAAAAATGAAATTAAAAGGTAATCATAGAAACAACTCCATAGGAAAATAGATCAAAATATATTTCTGCTAGGACATCAAAAATGTTTCCCATCACAGAATATATGCACACCACTAATACAACAATTAACGGCATTTTAGTCCTGAGCACAGGATATATATATATATAGCACAGCTGCAAAACTTTGGTCAATACAAGTAAACGTCAACATTTTACACAAACTGCTCAACATTCTTTGTTAGTAGATAAAGGTCAATTCCACCTTATGAAAAATCATCAACATTATTCATGTTATTTTTTGGGAACTTTGAAATTTGGAAACCCTCCATAGACTGATATCAATACCAGACAAACAGACCACAATTTGACTACATTTCCAATATATTTAAATATGGTAGTCATCTGAACAGACTATAAATGAGTAAACCATCAGTGGGTTGCATAATATTCCAAGTGTATTTTCTGACTGTCACAAAAGCAGACATTTTGTAGTTCAAATAATTTGAAAGCGTGTGTTTTTTTAATAGCTAGTCACAAAAATCCAGCCATGATAAAAGTGTGAATCAAGCAGTATTATCAGTTATTGGGACACACATGTATTCAGAGATGTTACTATTAAGCACACAGGATTGTACACAATTTTACTAGAATACATTTATATTCAGAAGTTGGATTCAGATATATAGCTTCCTGTTAATTCCATTCATAAGTTTTTGCCTAATAAATGTAGTGTAATATTTTCCACGAAGAATATACAGAGTATTATCACAGTATTCAGTTTATGTCTATCTTCATTCATGTTTAATTACTGACAATGTCTTCACCCAGATCTCCTGTGTCAGAGATCTGACCATCTTGCAAATTGCGAGCCTTCCAAATTCTCACAGTTCGATCGCTACAAAATAATAAATTAAAAATGAGAAAATAGGCAGAAAGATAAAGAAACAGCTATTACAATTACTTATCATGGAAACATTTTCTAAATAGTCTTTAATAGATGTAAGTAAAAATATAGCTTGTGCCATAAGTATATCTAACAGGGCATCATAATAATAATATTAAAAATAGCTCATATTCAATGGACACAGATAGTAGGGGGGTGAGGACACATGCTGGGAGGTGGAAGTTGCTGGTGAGAGGTCAATGGGGGAAAAAAGAAGACGTGTAGTACTTTAAACAATAAAGAATTTAAATTAAATAAAAAAGCTCAGTAGAAAACGGCAAAAACATAACTCATATTATCAAGAGTATGTGCCAGGCATTGTTACGTGTGCCCTTTAAGTACATTATTGCACTTAATTCTCTGTAACTAGCATAAGTAGATAATGCTATTATTCCATTTTTATCGATGAGCAAATTGAGTCCAATGTTTTCATGTTCTACATTTCCAGTATTTATTAAATCTGAACACAAGTAGCTAACATAGAAAAAAATCCCATAGGAAAAACTTACTCAGCTGCAGTAAAAATGTGGGTGGAATTCACACATATGGCATTGATAGGGCTATCATGGCCCTTCATCTCTCCAACTGGCACAAAAGTATCCACATTCCAGAGTTTCAGAATGCCCCCTCTGCAGCCACTGAGCAAGACCGGGTGGCCTGGCACCACTCCCAGGGCACAGACCCAATCCTTGTGTGCGTTTGGAACTTGCTGAGAGAAATAAGAGAAATCAGAAGCTTAGGGGGGCATACATTTTCACACCCAAAAATATTACAAATATTTTTTATTGATAAAACTCAATTTTTGGAATGCTGAATGGCTGCAAAATGTAAAATCATTTTCTATGCAATCACTCTTTGGGACTTAAAAAAATCTATAATTTGCCTCACTAATTATCATCAGTAATATCAGTATTAAAGGCTTATAATGTTAAAAATCTATAAAATCTAAAGGACTTAGAAAGTATACAAAAGTTGTCAAACATTACATCGTCTTCATAGGCAATAAATATCTCACCTTTTCCAAATGTATTTAATAAAACAAATTTAAAAACTACAACCTGGCATGTAGACTCTAAGGATTGCCTCATAAAAATCAGTGACTTAAACTTTTGTAGAAGACCGGAGCTAATTTATCCTTCCTATATAATAAAAGCCTAATATGTTATGTGTCCCATCTTCAACCAATCAAAGCATAATATGTAATGAAATGCTAAGGCTGCTCAACTGCTCACTATGATGTGCATAGACCATCAGGGGGCAGTCAACCAGCCAACCAGTTGCTATGATGTGTACTGATCACCAGAGGGTAGACACTCTGACCAATAGGTTAGCTTGCTGCTGGGGTCCAGCTGATTGGAACTGAGATAAGCCAGACACGCCCTGGAGCCCTCCCGTTGTCCCTCCTGGCTGGCCAACCACCCACATCCCTCCTCTCCCCAGCCCCAATCATGCACCAGTGGGGTGTTTTGGCCTGGCCTGCACCCTCTCGCAATCTGGGCTAAGGGACCCCCTCTCTGCCCCAGTGCACAAATTTTGTGCACCGAGCCTCAGGTATATTATAATAAGCAAACAATAATTGCAAGATCAGACTGTATGACTATATTTTATGCATAACTATTTTATATACACAATATAAATGTCACACCATAAATGTGTGTGTTTATAAAAGCTTTTGAGTGCAATATATGCATCTGTTTCTGTTTTTTCTATTAATATTCCATGCTACTTATTTAGTTTTGTCTAGTCGCAGGCAGGAAAGTAGTAGCAACTGCAACACATACACACCTGTACATGTACAGGAGAAAGCCTGAAACTGAGAACAATCTTATCTGTTAGCTAATTTCCCTGGGAATTAGGGAAATAGAACAATATTTGATTGTAATGACACACAACATTTCAATCCAATTAGTGTTCTAAAGAAAACGAGAGAACCAACAGTTTTAGACGCATGAAGATGTTCCTGTAAGTTGAGGAATCATTTACACTATGTTGACTTTAGCTAAACTCGTTACTTTGTGGAATATGTGTACATAAAACAAAACAAAACAAAATGAGAAACTATCACAGCTCTACACCAAGACTGATTTTATTCAATGAGCACATACATGAGACAATCCCTGATCTTTTAGTGTCTAGTCTTCTTTTGTTGGTGAAATATTTAATAAATGTCGAATGTTGCCCTTCTCATAATTAGTAACTCAGGAGGGTGAAAAGGAAATACTCCTTAAGAGGAAGCCCTTATTAATATCATTCCTAAACAATGAAAATCTACACAGAGGCTCTTCAAATTCTTATGTAGACTGCTGAGTGGCTCTGAAAGACCGACTCCATTTTGTGAAAAGGTTTTACATTACCTGCAGAAGGTCTTTTTGTGCTAAGTCCCATTTCTTGATTCCATTATCTCTGGACCCACTAAATAGGTTATCCCCTTGTATGGTTAGTGCCTCAATGCCATCGTAATGAGGGGGCTCAAAATTGTGGGTGGGACTCACAGTTCCAAGAGCCCCTTCAGTTACATCAAACATCTAAAAAATAGCAAAAAAAAAAAGCAGTCATCATATTTAACTTAAAATAAGCAGGTATATGTACATTCACAGAAATGCATACACATGTATAGTCATCAGAAATTTGTTTCGTTAGAATATCTCACTGAGTTAACTAAATTACCTGGTCTGTTCCACTCAGGATGAACCTAAGTCCCACTTTCACACTATTTTGCTTACGTGTCTCATGCTTACATGCCTGTTAAGAAAGGCAATCAAATTTTTTCATGTATAATCCAGTTGAAAATCAAATAACATAATTGTTATTTAAACATTACTAGAAAGCACTGCAGTCCTGGTGGCCATTTCAAATCCCCTTTACCATTTATTTTAAAACCTTACCTTTATTTCAAAACCTTTCATTCCCCGCAGTTGCCCTCACCTCTATAAACTGTTGATCTTGTGATTTCCTAAAAAGGCCAGCATGACCAAAAACATATTTTTGGACCCTTTCCTCCATACCAAAGTTTCCTTTTATCTGCAAACATTCTCTTACCCTTCCTTTCTTTTCAGATGCTAGAGTGTACTTACTTCTTCCCACAGTTCACATCTTTGATCTGGTTCTAACTCCTCCTACCACCTCCATTAATTGCCACTTCACTCTTCTCACACTTCTCTTCTCCACTAAGCCCATTCCCTAAGCATATAGACATGCTCAAGTCTACTGAATACAAAATCCTCTCCCCTTCTTCATTCGATTTTCAAGTCTTACTCAGAGCTACACTCTCCCTTACCATACCCTCTTTTTATTCCTATTCAAGGCTCTTACAGAGATTTCCCAAGGCCAAATCTTATCAACTCCTCTCCTTTGTCATGTCATCTACTCGAACTCCTTGAACATCTGCTTCTATTAGAATGGCTTCCAAGCCTACATCTCCAGTTATAACTCATCATCAACTCTGGGCTTGCCTTTCTAATAGTCTGCTGGCCTACATAAGGATGGCCTCTGTTATTACCTCCAATTTAACATTTCCAGAATCAAACTATACATCTTTCCTGAGCTTTTTTAAAAAATCTGAAGACCATAGTATGCTCAGTATAAAAGATGGTGACAAGGAGACTCGAGTATTAGTTGGGTGACTGAGTTAAAAATCTTTAAAATCCTTCTCAACCTATCTTCTATCAAAAATGGGAAGATATCATTAAGTAAGATCATAAAATCAGGAATTCTGAGTGAGGAAAACATCAGAAAGAAAAAGAAAAGTCTAGAAATAGGAAAAACAAAAATTAATTAAGAGAAAGGGTGAGTTTTAATACTTCAAACTATAATTCAGCAATCCTATTATACACACTTTGATGTAATGATCCTTGGAGCCAGTGATGATTAGATCTTGTCCATTGGAAATCTGATCTACAGTAAGGCACATCACAGGGCCTAAGTGTCCTGTTAACTTTCCTGTAGATTGGAACCTTTAAAAAGAAAGAAAAATAATTTTCTTTGAAAATATTCCTTAGCATGCTGATGCCAACCTTCAACATAAATAATCTATATTCTTTGATAAAATAGTTTACTAATATTTTTATTTTAGCTCCATCTCTATTCAACTCTATTCAAAATTCGTTTTTTAAAAATAGCCAAAAGAAGTGGGAAGAATCCTAATGATGGTATTCCAAAGCTGAGGAATGTCATTTAGGTAGTAAACAAAGAGGAAGCAAAAGTCAAAAAAATTGCTTATGACTAATTTTAACTCCCAACCCAAGTCTAGAAAAACATTAAATATCTAAACATGTGATAGACATATTACTGATGTTAATAGATTCAATTTGATTAAAACAACTATATCATTAAAATAATTTGTCTAATAAATAAGAATATAGAGAAAATAAGATTGTTTTATTAAACACACACACAAATACCCTCACCTATACAAAAATAAAGATAGGCAGTCAAGTATACACATACATACATGCATTTATCTATGCACACATATTTATATAAATACATACATCAGAAAATAGGTGGTACATTTTATCAGTTATTATAAATATATGAAAATGACGAGAACATATATTGGGCTGGTAGGAAAATGTGTGGTGTCAATCAATAGGAGTGACCGTAAGCCTTCGTTTCATAGTCCTATCTTAAATCCCATTGCCGGAATGCAGACATGAATTTGGCTTTCGAATATCAGTTTCTTGAAAACTGTTCTGTTAGTTACTTTATTAATATGAATCAGTATTTAATCATGCTGCTGAAATCAACCAGGTCTAACTCTTCCGCAAAATAAAAAGTATGAAGGTTTTTCAAAACCTGATGTCTTTTCTGCCTTATGTCATGATTTGTGTATCTTCCTGTTTGGTGTTCCTGATATGAGTCAAATGTACTCTCTTTAAGAATAAACTAACTCCTCACTTTTCTAAGTTTCTTAAACATTTTATTTCTACAACAGCACTGAGGATGGTGGTGCCCCTCTTTCTTTCTCCATCATCTATCTATAAATTATGCTTGTTATACTGTCTCAGCCATCTGTTTAAATGTTATAACTAGTTCTTCGGAAAGTTTCTCAAATAACTATTCCTTTGATTTACCAGTGACGAAGCCCTGCTAGAGGGGAGGTGCCCAAATTGCAAACTTTCCTCAGGGCCCTGTACAAGCCTGTTTAAAGGCCTTTATCCTCCCTTATAACATAAGGTCTCCAAAGGCAGAGCCACATTTGTCCGGAGTCATCTGTATTCCCAGGATCTGACACAGTGCTGGGCAGTGCTTGCTTTAGCTGATGTTTAGTAAGTATTTAACAAACAAGTGAATGTTCTCTTGCTGCCAACATTTTAAGAACTGGAAAAGAAACTAAAATAAGTACTCAACTAAAGGATAAAAGCTCCTATTTCGTGGCAAATGAAAATCAAAGATGTATTGCCTCACATTTCAATGTATCAATCTCTTTACTTTTTAACCACTTTATCTTCTTGATAGTCACAGAAACCCTTTAAGGTTTTATGCCCACATTTGTTCATTGACATCTATACACTAAAAAATTTAGAGATATAAGATGTTTAAATAATATTGCAAAGGTACTGGTAAAACTAGGATGAGAATGCTGGTCTCTTCCTAGAAAACAACTCAATTTGTAACAAATATTAAGAAAGGCTAAGGTTTTAATCCTATTTTTCTCCATACTCCCCCCCCCCCCCGCCCCAATCAATGCTACTTAAAAGAAAGAAAAAAAAAATGTGAGTTTGCTAAAGAGAACAGAAGAGACCTTTGGAGGTGTTGGACTGAATAGAAAAATCCTATGATTTTCCTATTAACTTCTGGGGTTACAAAATTTAGATTTCAGATGCACTAGTAATGTCTGAATGCTGTATTTTCCATGTGTAAGAAGTACATTGTCTTCTACATTCTACCTTTTAAGATCCCACATTCTGACAGCATTGCCAGAAGCTGCATACAGGAAAGTGCCAGTTGGGTTCAGTGCAATTTGATTGATCTGGTTCTCTCCAGAAGGAATAGCTACCGTCCGGCTGGTACTGGCAGAGCAAACATCTCCAAGAGTAACTTGACCTGAAGATCTTAACAGAGACAGAACAAAACAAAAAATAAAAGTCACCATTTCTGTTCGTGAGTTCAGCTCAAAGTTCCATGAATTCTTAGAAACCTGCTATATGCAACAGCAGCATCAATGCCCTTTTTGATCACTGTATGCACAGAACCCAGCACCGCACACACGCATAGCTGGCACCTTACATATTTTGAATGAATAAAACAAGATGACATGCTTAAGACTCTTAAATTGCAATTCTGTTATAAGTTAAGAATTATAAGCCCTGAATCAAGAATTATTAAAATATTCAAAAAAGATTAGGTGACAAAAATTAAAAGTCAAACAAAAAACAAAAACCCCTCAGCAAATGAGAGTGTCAAATAGGTGATTCATTTTTTCTGCAGTTTTCAGAAGCCCCCTGAGAGCCAGGCCAACCAATATTGTTTTAATTTATAAAATTTGCCCTTTTGAATTAAAGCCTCTGAGGACTTTTAAAATTATTTTCCATTTTTATTTACTTTAGCCCATTCATACTTGAAATATTTACTATGTGTTAAAAACTTAAACATAACTTATTTCTATTTCCTCTGGTAAATTCTCAAGGGTAAGCATATTTTTAATTTTTTAAACATGCTCATAGCTAACTTCTAAAAATCAAGTTATAATTAACTTTTTCAAATTTGACTTTAGGGAATCAATTGGATTGGTAACTTTCTAACATCTTTTTTAAATAAAATTCCCCTCAAGAGACTTGTATTCAGTACAAAAATTAGTAGTTCTCCAAATACAAATTAGCAATTAAAGATTAATAATCCATACCCTACAAATTATTAACCCCTATTCTAAATCCCTAATTTTAGTAAAAATTAATCTTTCCTATGCTCCCTTCTTTTATTTAAGCCATCAAAGTTCACCCTCAATTTCAATTATAAAACAGTTCATCAATCTTATGGCAAAAAGAATCATTATTTGCTCCACATTTTATAGACATATACGATAGACATAGAAAACAAACTCATCCTCCAATAGTCCACTATGACCTGCAGTTATGAAATGTGTGCTAACATCAAAGTTAATACTATAAGTCCCTCCCCAACCCAATATACCTATCAATTAATCAATACTTGCCAATTAAAGATTACAATCACTTCTTAACTATCTCCAATGGTTATATATGCCATTTTCCAAGGAGCATTATTCAGTTGAAGCAGCAATGTAAGCCATTTAACTACAACACATAGTAAATACTATGAAATGTGATACCTTGGTATTAGGGAGCATGGAAATATAAAATATATATTTAGTCACAGATCAAATTATTTACCCTTTCCTGTTTAATACTAAGTAACCATATTTTATTTTCTCAATAGTATTTTTCCCTTTACTTTATCTGTGTTCTTATTATAAACATTTTACCATCCTTTGAAAATAGGCAGATATCCTCTATAATAAAAGGCTAATATGCAAATCAACCAAAGAACAGAATGACGAGTCATTGCACTGACCAACAGGGGGCAGATGCTCAACACAGGAGCTGCCCCCTGGTGATCAGTGCACTCCCTCAGCGGGAGCACCACTCAGCCAGAAGCACCACCTGACTCCTCAGCAGCACAGAGAGTTGGACATCCCCTGAGGGCTCCTGTACTGCAAGAGGGCACAGGCTGGGCTGAGGGATCCCCCCGCCCCAGTGCACAAGTAAGTAAATAAAAATGCATTTATAGTGCTATCTTTTCTTATATTTTATAAACAAGAACTATTTGCCTTTTATGCTACTTATCTTTAAGTTACTTACGTCAGTGTTCGAACACATTTTGCTGAATCTCTAATATCCCACACCTTAATATAAGATGTTGACACAGTGAAGACCAGGCTTGTATAATTACAGTATTTTACAGACACAACATTATTGGGATGACCTCCCAGTGACATTATCTCCTGCCCGGTCACCAGATTCCATACTTTACAAGTACGATCTAAAACAAACAAATAAACAAGGGTAAATACTGTCAGCATGAACTAAGTTAGGTTCTCCTTACAAAAATTATTTAAACAATTTCTCTCCTATGAAAAATAAATGAGATAAGAAATCAGTAATTATCCCATTAATCTGCCACAGGCATCCTTAATCCACCCCTGACCTTCTGCAGCAGGTTCAAGGGCAAAGTAGGAGTAAAGGATTAGATGAGAGCCAGGGATGTCTGTGCATGCATTACGTGGGTATTGAAAAATAATTACATAAAATTTTGAAAGTCATATCAAATAAATCAAACTCTTCAAAACCTTCTGCTTTGATCACGTCCCTACCTTCTCACAACACACCACATGCATAAGCAGCTTTTTTTTCCAGGGGTCACTGTGTGATGAATTTTATTTCTGACGCACAAACATAAGCCTAAAACTATTCTATGTTGTTTTTGTATTTTTTGGTATGACGACAATCTAATTATCCTGGAGAGATCAATTTAATTAGAATCATTAGGAAAGCATATTTTCACAGAGCAGATTATTTCTAAAATGGGAACTGTTTGCCATAATTTACAGTTCACAAGTTCTAGCAAGATTCTTATGTCAGTCATAGATAATGAACAATAAATGTTTGCTGATTAAACTGAATCTTATAATATCCTTAAATACTAATTAACTTTTACTAGTTCCCCAAGTTCCTATACAGGCTTTTTTCTTACCTTCCTAGCCTCATTGCCTACTACTATTCAACCCAACTGGATTTCATTTCCAAACATACCCCACTTTTACCTCCATGTCTCTGCTCATGTTGTTCTCTAATCTTGGTTGCCAATCCTCACCTGTCAATATGCAAACCATCCTATAAGGTTCACTTTAAATCCCCCATTTGTCAAAGCCTTCCTGTTTCTCACAGATTGCCAAATCTCTCCATTTTCCGAAACCCTAAAACTCTTGGTGTATAACTCTTCCAAGTGTATACAGTTGAGTTCTAAGTACCTGAAATTGTACCAAAGAGGTTAAGATTGAAGGTCTGGAAACGAGTGGACCCAGATTTTCAATCCTGGCTCTTCCACTTCCTGGCTAAGTTTTCCTGGGAAAATTATTTAATATCTTGAATCCTCAATTTCTTTATTTGCAAAATTGGGGTTGTAGTGAGAATTAAAATGAGATAAAATTTTTGTAGTGTCTAGCATAGTCTCTGAAATACAATAAGTGTTCAAGAAATGGTGGTTGCCTCCCACCTTTTCTTTTCCACACTTTGCACTGCAATAGCCCCTGGTACATCGTTATATGAACTGCACTATTAAGCTCAGGCCCTGCATGCATTGGGTACTCAGTTACCAAACAGAGATGTAATCTCTCAATATTCTATTTACAAAACATCAGCAGAGATTTTACTTTCTTCCCAAGTATGAGATGATTTTATAGTTTATGCAATTCAGTGGCTAAATGAGATGATCTTTCATATCCTTAGGGGTCTTAAGCAGTTTCACTTAGTTTTGGTCAAAGCTTGTTAAAAATGCAGTCATTTCAAAAAAATCTTAAATACCCCCATGAAACCACTCCTAGCACCTTTTGATCCAGTGAAGAGGAGGTCATCGGTGGAATCCACACAGAGCACAGCTTTTGTGTGCCCCTCAGCTATGTGAACACACTGCAGGGCAGAAGCTTTGATTCCTTTTGAGGCAGGACATGGGTTGATTATGCCCCTGAGTTGGGAAGTGGAGGGGAAAAAAACAAAGAAATAAAACTGACATCAGTAGCTATACCATGAGACTAATTTCAGTTTTTCCCTGACTTTAAGAAGTCTTTCTAAATAATTAGTAACAAAATTCAGGCTGCTCCTTCATCTCTTTTTTAAGCCAGAGGACAGAGACAATGTGTGAAGTAGCAGCAATGGAATACATCAACTCATTAGGCACCAGCTAACAGCTGCGCTCTATAAAGAGCAAAGCCTACGGCATATTTGGATTTTCTTATTAACAATTTCATCTCTTCAGAATTTAATGAAGCAATATTGGGAGCTGTTTGGGTGTTGTGAATTCTGACAAATAAGAAAGTATATAGGGTAGCACTTGGAAGATGTGACTCTGTATCAAAAAGGACATTCTTGAGAAAGTATAACACATACCATCTAAAATACTGAGAAAGCAAATTTCAAACAAATTTGCAAAAAGACAAGATTGGAGTTTCTGCTTTATGCTGCTGGTCTATGCAATATGGAAATGTACAGATTATCAAAACATCATTCCTATTCTAAAGGAGTTTAATGCAGGATCTGAATTGAAATAATTGTGTCAGGAAGACTAAAGAGAGAATGAATTAAGTCATGATAAATATATCAGTCAGAAGTTTCTTTGTTTATAGCAGGAAGAAAAATTATATTGAAGTATGTCCATTATATAAGACACATGGCATAATATTAGGACAAATACAGGGGTAAAACAATACTGTTTCTACTTCTTGATGAAACAAAAACAATCTTCAAGAGATATCGGGTCTAGTAATAATTAATGTCGTTTTTAAACATTCGTTTAAAATCTTGCTTGGCATTGACTTGTATTGACATAACCTTCAAACACGAGGTATCTACAGAACGTGTGAAGTGCAATTAAGTTTTGCTTGAAAAAGTTTGTGTTTGGTTTGGTTTTTGTTGCAAAACTAGGGCTAAGAAGATGGTGGCTGAAGAGCATATTCGGCACTGCATGCTTTACGAGTTCCAATTAGGAAGAAAAGCAAGTGAGGCTGCAAAAAACATCTGTAGTGCTCTTGGTCAAGATGCAGTTAGCGCCAGAAAATGCCAGCGTTGGTTTGAGAAATTTCGCGAGGGAAATATTTCGTTCGATGACAAGAGTGGTCGAGGCCGTGTGTCCAATTTTGATCAAGAAGCTCTTCAAGCTCTTTTGGTGCAAAATCCTCAAATTACCCAACAAGAGCTTGCGACAACTTTAAATTGTTCACAAAAAACAATTTCCAATCAATTGCGTGCACTTGGCAAAGTCCAAAAGTTTGGAAAATGGGTTCCTCATGAGTCGACCGACAACAACCGTAATCAAAGAGTCACAATTTGCAGTTCGCTCCTCTCTCGTCAAAACCGTTTGCCGTTTTTAGAGCAAATTGTTACCGGAGATGAAGAATGGGTGCTGTATGTTAATTTGAAAAGGCGGCCTCAATGGTTGGACAAAAATGAGGCTCCGCAGCCCACGCCAAAACCTGACTTGCATGCGAAAAAAGTGATGTTGTGTGTTTGGTGGAATTTTAAAGGAATTCTTCATTATGAACTTTTACCATCTAACCTAGGGGTGTCGAACTCAATCAGAGAAGGGGCCAAAATCTAAAATCCAGCCTAAATCGCGGGCCGAATGGTTTACTGGACAGTCATAAACTGTCATTGTGATGGAAACGCAGCAGAGTGCAGTGATGACAGCGCGGTGCGGGCCACATTGCAAGGCCTGGCGGGATGGATTTGGCCCGCGGGCCTTGTGTTTGACACATGTGAATTCTAACCAAACCATTACAAGTGCAGTGTATAGTGCCCAATTGGAAAGGTTAGCCCAAGCTTTAAGAGAAAAAGAACCCGCGCTGATTAATCGGAAGGGCGTAATTCTTCACCACGATAACGCACGACCGCATACTGCAAGAATCACTGCTGAAAAACTGCGCCAGTTGGAACGGGAAGTTCTCCCTCAACCTGCATATTCTCCTGATATTGCCCCTTCCGATTACCATTTGTTTCATTCTTTGCAAAACTTTCTTCTTGGAAAAAAATTTAATAATGAAGAATGCCTCAAAAATGCATTGACCGAATTTTTTGCATCAAAATCACAAGAATTTTACAACAGAGGGATTAAAATGCTTCCTGAGCGTTGGGCACAAGTAGTAGAAAACAATGGCAACTATATTGTTGATTAAATTTTGTTGTATTGTTTAAATAAATTCGATTTAAAAAAGTATTAGAAAACGACATTGATTATTACTAGACCTAATACAAGCAGCAGAAATGACAAAGAAGAAATGCAAGCCCAGACTAAGTAGAACTAATAAATGGAGACATCTGGTGAATTCGGTTTTTAAATCACTATACCATAGTTTTTCAATGTATACGCCTGTGGGGACAAAAATCAAAATCAACACAGTACTTCCACTGGTACTCTAAGAAGATCAATAAAGGGGAAATCATGCAGACCCAATTCCAGAAAGGAGGGGAAAAGTGAATTTCAGAAATTAGAGATGAATAAAATTATTATAAAAGCTCATCAATAATAAACAAGCTGATTGATCTCATGAAGGAAATTATTTATAGGGTTACTCGGCAGCAACATAGGGGAAAGTCAAGATATGTTGACTCCAATAAGGCTCGTATAATCAGCTTTTCAAAGGAAATCCTTGTAGAAATGGGTTAAAACAAAACTGTTGTAGTAAGGTAGTTTCAGCAGTGCTTGGAGTCACACCTAATGGTTCAATAATCCTGTCAGTCTAAATGAAGGTCTTCAAAATCTAGTCATGCTTTTTCTAGCTCTAAAGACAGAAATGGTATGTTTACTACACTGAAGTATTTTTAAAAATGGCTACTGTGTTGTATTGCCTAGAAAAAGTGACTGAAACAACTTTCACTTATTGTTAAGAATGTATTTAGCATGAAAGTAATCACTGAATGATATCCTATATAATAAAAGGCTAATATGCAAATTGACCAAACTGCAAAATGACCGGTCACTATGACACACACTGACCACCAGGAGGCAGATTCTCAACCCAGGAGCTGCCTCCTGGTGGTCAGTGCCCTCCCACAGGAGGATGCCGATCAGCCAGAAGCTAGGCTTATGGCTGGGGAGTGCAGTGACAGTGGTGGGAACCTCTCCCAACTCCGTGGCAGTGCTAAGGATGTCCTACTGCAGGCTCAGGCTCTCTCCCCATGGGGAACGGGCCTAAGCCCTCAGTCGAACATCCCCTGAGGGCTCCCAGACTACAAGAGGGCCCAGGCAAGGCTGAGGGACCCCCTGCGTGCACAACTTTCACGCACCAGGACTCTAGTTGAAACATAAAACTTAACTCAAATATATAATAGAATGTTCAAAGTAGGAAAGTGGTGTAAGTGATTTAGTTATTGATACATGATTAACGGATTGACAATTAGTGGTTCCTCTCCCAACATTTTCAGGAGAAAGTAATATAACTTCTATATTCTACCAAGGCCACATCTAAAATAGAGTTGAGTTCTACATGCCACATTTTCAGCACAATGAAAAACTGGGCACTTTCCAAAAACAGTGGGAGCAGCATGAAGGGCCTATAGACTCTATCACATAAGGAACAGATGATGAAACTAGGCCTATTCAGATGATAAAAGAACATTCACTGGAGAGGACACAGTAGCACAGGGAAAGAGCTGGATATTTAAAGAACTGTCACAAACACTGAAGAAGAGCTATTGGCTAATTCTGATTTAACTCAGGTGTGCTGATGAAAAAAATCAATGAATAGAAATTCAAAGGAGGTAAATTTAGGCTCAGAATTTTATTTTTAAATTTTATTTTTAGGATCTAGCTAAAATGATTTTAAAAAATAAAAGAAGCAACTCATCACTGGAAATGATACCAGGAATTGTTATCAGTAGATACACAAGTACACAGTCTAATGCTATTAATTGCACACATGTGTCAATATGAGATTCTTTAAATGGATGCTCATTAACTTGTTTGTAATGTAAGACTTTATGCAGATTAAAACTGAAATGGGAGCAAAACCTCTCCAAATGTCTGACTCTGGTATTTGAAACTTCCTGTTGCTGTTCGGTTGTTAGCTATGAACTGAAGCCATCAAAACATTGCTTCCCACGTTCACAAATGTGACCTAATGTACAGTCAACTGCCACTTGTTACATCTTAAATATTATAGAAAATAGATGTGTGCATATTCCAACAAGCGGACTATAAAGAAAAAAAAATCATGGGAACAGTCTAAGAGCTGTTTCTGATTTGCATCTAATGACACAAATCATCCTGAGGGGAAAAAATCAGTAGCCTCAATTATGTGGCTATATCTCCAAAAGATTTCCTTCCTTCAAATTATCAGCTTTAACCTAAGAATTTACTAAAGCTTCCCCAATGATATAACACCCAACACAACTCTGTCATGTCAAAAGTTGTAGTAAATATTTGCCACCAAATATACAGTGACTTCTGTGTGGCACAGCTCCAGGAGTCTCTTTCATTGTTATGTGTGTTCATATCATTGATTAGTCACACTTCTGAAGAAAAATAATCTCAATGTTAAATATAGCGTTTTATTAATTAGACACTGAAAAATGCTCTCAGATATTCATAGTATTAGGGTATATATATATATATATATATATATACATATATATATATATATAAAACCTTAACAACAAAGTAATAGAAAAAAAATATAGAAATTGGAAACATACATCCAATCCATGGTATTTTTTTTTTCTATTAGAATTAATCTATTCACATTCTGAAATATAGAAATCAACTTAAAATAATTTCTTTAAGTTAAGGTTAAATGTTGCAAACTTGTAAAACAAACTTTATTTGAAGGAGAGAAAAAAAAGTTTATTGTTGTTCCATGCAAACAAAATAAAGTTTGTAATGCTGTGAATGAGATTAATTTCATCTCCCTCCCCCTGCCTACCTTTTGGAGGATCTACTGCTGATCAGCAAAATGGCCATACACAGGGAAACGAGTGCAAAAAGAGAGAAGACAAATGATAAGTGGGAAGAAGAAATGACAGCAAAGATGAAAGAGAAATTAAGAGTAAAAAAAAAAATCCTTAACATCAAAAATGCAACATTGTTACTTTTTAAATATCATCAATCAATAGCTCTTTTTTTAAAGCTCTTCTACATTCTATTTCTTCCTCTCTTTTTTGGTACCATAGTACCCTTCTTTTTCTAGCATATCTTTTTTTTTTTTTTAATCACAAAACCTCCCATAAACTCTATTTAAAATGCTAAACAAACAAGAAAAGATAACCGTACTGACCTCCCACATTTTTTTTTTTATTGGAAATAAAAAAAATCACTGAAGAGCAAAATTTCTTGAAATCAGTATTCATAGAACTTAATTACTTAAAAAAAATCTAGGTTACAAATAGAAAACAAATATCACAAGCTTTTATGTTATTATACAAAAAACTTTGCCACTACTTTTGTCTAAAAGGTGCATCATTAAAATGAATATGTTAAAAAGTATTAGTGCATCTAGCTGGTTTACAAGTTATGCATGCAACAAAAATGAGATTTGCTTAGTTACTACGAAGACATTTTAGAACACCATGAAATGCCAGAATTTAGAAAAGATAGAAAGAAAGTACCTGTGTACCTCCGACAGAGAGGAATCACTTTCATCAGACCTACAGCGAAAGAGTTAGAATTATGAGGAGAAAGAATGCAGATGTCAACAGATAAAGACACAGAGGTTGAAATGAAAATCAACAGTATTATTGAAATATGGTAAACACTTCCTTTATCGTGCCCAGCTTCTCTATTTGTACTGGATAACAGCAAACTCAATGTCTAGCTAAGTCAGACAAGCTATTCGATTCTTTTATTTCCTACCAAGACTTTGGGGAGAAAATATACTAATTCACAGAGCCTGTCTATCCTTATTTCTAAAATTTAGGTTCAAAGAGGAGCCGTAGCAAGTAAAATATATCACTTCAAGTTTCTTTCTATTTAATATACTAGCACCAGAAAATGTTTTCCATTTTAATAACTAGTCATGAATTTTATTCATCTTGATAATTACTTTAGATTTGAACTCTTTACTATGGCTGTTGCACAAACACATTACATGTTTGAAAGGAAAGCAAATCACTAAACTTAATAATTTTTTGTTTTAACTTATCTTAAGAATATGGAATTCTGACCTCTGACCAGGGAGTCCCTCGCTAATAGCTGGATTAAAAAATAGTAGGATTTTTATAATAGATGACCCACTCCTGTCAGCAGTGGGTCCTATCACAAAACCTCCAAGTCCAGCAGTGAGTCTGGTTATTATGAAAATCTATTTACCTGTAAAATAAGTTTGGGGAGTATGAAGGGATGGTAAGTGCTGCTGGCATGGAATGTAACCAGAAACAATGTGTAGATGGTGAAACACGCTAGTCTCAAAAAGGAGCCCCCAAAAAAGTGATCCCAAAGGTGGCTGAGCTTTTGAAAGTGTAAAGTTCAATTATTCTAAGTGACAACTTTCAGAAATAACAACACAGTCAAATTGTTGGTAGCTGATAAAACATTTCAGTACAAAATGTGGAACTATGACGAGATTGTCAAGATCATCAAAAGACTGGCAGAAAATTTTATGACTGAATGCATGGTAAAGAAAATTTAGTAATTCTTCTATTATTTTCTCAGGTAAATAAGAGATCTGATGTGCTGAAACCGGTTTGGCTCAATAGACAGAGGGTCGGCCTGTGGACTGAAAGGTCCCAGGTTCGATTCCAGTCAAGGGCATATCTTGGTTGCAGGCTCTTCCCCAATAGAGGTGTGCAAGAGGCAGCTGATTCTCTCTCATCGATGTTTCTAACTCTCTATCCCTCTCTCTTCCTCTGTGTAAAAAATCAATATAATATATATTTTTAAAAAGAGATATGATGTAACAATATTAGAGTCTTCTTCAGTAACAGATAACAGTTGCCTATCTAGATCAATTTAAAAGACATGTCATCAGCTGATTAAACCATATTAAATTGTGATCTAGAATTGTATCCATTAATTAGGTAGATTAAGGTTATTTCAACATGTTATTGTGTTTCTCTGTCTACAGAGCCATTCAGCATCATTTAAACATGCTGGACATCTTAAACAAAGTCCTACAAATTTCTGAAATTGTTGAATTATACAGAGAAATTATAACATAAAAAAAATAATTGGGGTGGGAGATTGGATATCAAGTACATCCACATACAATGTTATCATTCAAAATCAAAGCAGGTAAGTCAGAGTTAACAAACACTTTATGGCAGCATTGTTAGTATTGAATTCTTGCAAGAGAGATTCTGGCTCAATGTGAGAATACTTTTTCAATGAATATTTAATGAAAATAGTATTTTCTACATTCCTCCAACTACCCTTCCCCCAGAACATACCCTCAAATCTTCCCCCTTCACCCGTAAGGGTACTTTTTTATTCCAAAAACTATTATATTACTGAAGTTAACTAGTGGATTTGTATAGAACAGTAATCTTTGTAATCTGTTCTATCCACCAAAGATAAAATAATTTGCATATTTTCAACCCAGGCAGTCTGGATTAGAGACTTTTGTATGCTCACAGAAGCTGAAGAATCCCACGAAATTTAAACTTCAGGTGGTCTCAAAGATATTTTTCAAAGCTAATGTACTTATAAAAGAAAGAGCAAGACAAGTGCTGAAAGTATAGCGATGCAAATCTACAGCAGGGAATAATGTTCAGCAGGAAAATAATCTCTATGGTTCATTTCCTGTTGGAACAACACACAAAATATGGCAAGAGTTCACAGGTCAGACTCCATCTCCCACACAAAGAGATGGCTACGTATTTTCTTCAGACTGTATTGACAGGTTCAGAATATTGTAATAAATCGTTGGGGCTCTTTTCTATAATGACTTACTTATCCTGCTGAACTGATGTGTTTCCCTGAGAAACAGTAAGACGATTAAACACATTCAGTTCATTACGGGGCCGGCTTGGTGGGGAAGAAGGAGGTGAAAGACTAGCCTCTGAGGTTCCAGAATCTGAGCTACAAGAAAAAAGAACATTAAATAGGTGGCTTTAATTGGTTATGCTTTGTTAGGAATGTTATATGAAACACGCTTTTCTAAAAAAGCTTTTCATTATGGAAAAATCCTTCCTTCTTCCCTCTCTTCCTTCCTCTTTTCCTTTATTGTAAGATAAAATGCACTCTGAACAATTTAATTTTTTCCCCATTGAATTTTGCTGCATTGGCCACAAGATGGCACTAAAGAAAGAGTTCTATCTGCTGAACTCTAAAGTCAGTACAAATAAAGCAAGCCAAATTTAAAACTATACAGTTTTAGAACTGAGACCAAGATGTTCATTTTACAGACAAGAATCAGACCCAAAAAGTTTAAGAGGGATTTGCCTACTCAATTGATTCATTCATTTATATTTAAAATTACTTATTTGCTCCATTCCCCCATCTCCCAATCATTCTTGAGAGGTCTGATTCAGTAGCAACAAATTACATCTTTAAACACAGAAAGCAAGGATGATTAGAAGGATAATTTCCATGACGTTCATGTCAGCTAAGCCAGTGGTCAAGGCAGAGCGTGTGCATGCTGGCACAGGGAAGGGGGTGGTACAACGCTGTCCACTCAGGTACAGAAAATGTATAAAAACTTACTTTAATATTTATTTTTATGGTAAAGAAATTAGCTTTACCAATAAATATTTAAGTGTAGACTGGCACTGATATTCTCACCCATGGCTGAGTCAAAGACCCACCTGCCACATGCAGCACATTAGGCCACACACGAGGTAGAAGGGTGACAGTGGCCCTCACCTATTCATTCACCTTTCTGCATGTTGAGGTATTGAAATTACCCAGTGGGTCATGAGATTATGTTATGTGTTGTTCAGTAAATAAACCTTCAAAAAACACACAAACAGCTTCTAAAAGATGTAGGCAAGCACTCTCTCTCCAGGGAGCATATGCCTGCTGTTCCCTTCCCTTTCTCCTTTCCCCACCTCTTATCCCCTCACCTCTAAGGGCCCCATGAGACTTGCAACCAGAGGAGCAATGGGCAGTGGCAGCTCGTCCTGAGCTAACCCAGGATCTGTCTCCAAGGCCCCCTTTTCTCTGATTTCCCAGTGAGCCAAGCAGCCCAGCTTCGTCTCTCCTGTTGCTTCTTCAAATATGCCCTTCCTTGTCTCACTCTCCTGTGTATATTTTGGCTGTGGTCAATACATTCTTGCTTGCTTTTCCACAAACAAACAAAATGATTTTAGTAAAATAATAATAATAATAATAATAATAATTGGGGATAATACCTATTTAAACATAAAAAACAGCAAGAAAATGGCATAACTCACACACCCTCCAACACTACTTTTTTTGTCAACCCTGTTAAAGAGATGAAGTCAATGTAGTTTTGTCAGATGACAACCAAAATTAATTTCACATTTTTCTAGAGGACCATATGTAATAAGTCTCACCTCAGGTGTATATTAACTCTTACAGTAATATGCACAAATAATTGGAAAATATATGCGTACACAAGTGCTTAATATTTTTACAGGTGTGTGTGAACAAGAAATTTAAAGACCATTCAGCCAAGCCAATAGCTGACCTGATTGCCATGATTAGTCAAATCTGTCATAACCACAGAACCAGTCTAAAATCTGGAAAATAATTTCACTGTTGTCCTTTAGCATCTAAGTGTAGCAGACATTTTATACAATCTAATAGATAAAAAGCAAGAGTAACTTACTGTTTTTGTTCCTTGGCCTTTGATTTTTCTGCTTTCTCATAGGCCTTTCTCCTGGTTACAGGGGAAGGCTCCGGTAGTTTTTTCTCTGATAGAGATGAAGATCTGGTACTAAAAACAGGAAAAGATTCTGTAGTCATCTAATTTTAAATATGTACATACAACTTTATTTGATAGACATTTAACCTAAATTTTTAATAGATTAATAACTAGAACTCAAAAAAGATTACTTGGAAACAAAAACTAAAAACTAAAAATAGGATAGGAAAATATTATGAGTTATTTTTAGTTAATGGAAGCTTAACAAGCATACATTTAATTTTTAAATTGGCAACCATTTCAAATATGTGCAAACCCATTATCTTTTAATATAAAAAAAATCCATATTCGCCGAAACCGGTTTGGCTCAATGGATAGAGCATCGGCTTGGGGACTGAAGGGTCCCAGGTTCGATTCCGGTCAAGGGCATGTACCTTGGTTGCGGGCATATCCCCAGTGGGGGGTGTGCAGGAGGCAGCTGATCGATGACTCTCTCTCATCGATGTTTCTAACTTGCTATCTCTCTCCCTATCTGTACAAAATTAATAAAAAATATATTTTAAAAAATCCATATTATATTGCCAAATAAAATTTTTTATTTTAAACATAAGCATTTAAGTTTGATTAGAATTGCTTCAATTGAAGAAAAATTGTCATTACAGTTTGGTAAGAACAAAAATATTAGACTATCAGAATATGAGAAACAATGAGATTTAATGAATTACATTTAGACATAGTTACACAAAAAATGCACAATTATTTAAATTAATGACAGTACTTAATTTGTAACTCAGAAATGTTTGTAATTAACATATTCTTGCCTTATAAATTTTAAATGTTGAATAGTAGTTATGTAAAACTATGATTTTTTTTATATGGTGTAATATATTTTAATTTAAAAAATAAATTTCTGCTATTCTTCACTAGTTATATTAATAAAAAAATACAAATTCACTAAAAATGATAAAACAATATCCTCAGAAAGGGTTACATGACTCCTATTTGAACACAAAAATTAGGTATAATTAAATTTTTTTCTAATTGGAGAAAATCAATTTTTAGAACTTCTGCATCCTTTAAATCATAAGGGCCACTTGAGTAAATTATTTAATATATATATATATATATATATATATATATATATATATATAAAAGCCTAAGCCACCATTACGACCAAATGACCAGAACAACCGGTCAACCAGTCACTATGGCATGCACTGAACACCAAGGGGCAGACACTCAATGCAAGAGCTGCCCCCTAGTGTTCAGTGCAGTCCCACAGCTAAACTCTCATGGCCAACCAACTATCCCCACCCCCGCTCCCACTGGCTGGCAAACCTCCAGCGGCCCTTCTCCCCATGACTCCCCTCATCTGGCAGACCCCAGCCGGCCCAGCCCCAATTGGGACTGGACAAGACAGCCCCGATAGTCTCTGATCTCCAGCCAGGCCCAGGGACTCCACCTGTGCACAAATTTCGTGCACTGGGCTTCTAGTTTATGTAATAAAAGTCATGGAATAATGGTTTATAAAAGTTACTGCATCAAGCACAAGACCCGCTCTTAAATTTGTGCAGGATTGCACAAGCATCTGTATTCATGAAAATAAATCATGCAAAAAGAGAGATTCCAAAAGGTATTGTCTACCACCTGTCACAAAGGATACATTTTTCAAATTTAAAAAAGAAAGGCAAAAAGAAGGTATTACCTGAATCTGGATTCCAGGTCATAGATTTAGTCTTGAAGTTCCAAAAGTCTCTACTCATCTGACAGACTACACTGAACACATGTGGGTTCCTAAAATTTGCTGTCACTTCTATCTTACTGCCTTCACCCAAAGCGTTTCTGCTACTATCATCTTATTAAAAAGCAATGAAGCCATAAGCTATCTACTGGTTAGCAATCTGTAGTAGCAAATCCGATAGTTAATTACATAGGCCTCAAGCACATGCAAGAAAGTTCTGTCATCATTAAAATTAATTTTGGAACTAAAGGTTGCAGATGGGCTTACTGAATGTAAGACAACAAAAATATCTTCATACAATGCACAAAGTTATGGGAAATAGATATATTCAAGGGGGGAAGTTAGTTATTTTTTATTTGCAGAGTCATATGGAGTATGCTGCTTTTGGGGAAGTATATCTCAATGCTGGTGTGTATTCATCTCACAAATCACTTGCCAGAGTATATGTGAAGGTTCATTTGAAAAATATCATTTAAATCTTTACTAGTGATTGATTGAACACACACAAAGCATACACACATACACACACACACACACACACACACACGCCTATATAGGGAAATCTTTCTTTTTCCTCCAGAAAACAATTTTAAAAACCTATAAATAAGATTTGTTTTGAATATCATTGTTTTTTATTCAGATCAACATAGATGGGAGAGAGAATATGTCTTCTTGCAAATCTGTAATAATATCAATGCAAATATTTTGTGCAAACACTCATGTCGGAATGTCGGACATGTCATGTGCTTTAAGGCAAAAAGTTAGGAAAGCCCCGAGTGTTTTATGGTTGTATGTGATATTTCATTTTTCTTTAGAAAGGTCAGTAAAGTTTAGTATCCTGACCAGGCTCTTAGAACTAGGACACACATAATTTAGAGCTAATTTAAGGTACTTTCGGGTTATTGTTTTATATAATGGCTTTATAGGCACAGCATTAACCTAATTTAGCAGTCGCTAAATCAATTTTATCTGCAGCTCACAACTCAGTCTTTATAAAAACTATAATCCTCTAAGAAGGACCCTAAAACTGAGAAACAAGATAATGCAATTCAACAAAGAACAATTTCCCATCTCAAGTCATTTGGAATGTCCAAAAAAAAATTAGGTGAGATAATAACCTAACAGAAATTACATTGAAAACCAGAGATCTTATTCACATAAATTTAAAAAAAAAATAGAAATAAGAAATCAGCAACATGCATATTAAAAAAGAAAAGCCAAAAGAAAGGAAGTTAGTGGAGCTGGGCCAGACTTACATGCTGCCTATCTTAGAAGGGAAGCCAGATGGGGGAGGGAGTTCTTTTTCCCTAGCAGAAGTAGCACTTGTCTCTGCATTCATTCCACTCTCCTGCCCTTCTGCAGCAGCTGGGAGAGGGCCAGCCAAGGCAGCATCTCCTGCGCTAGTGTCTGAGGCTAGTTCACTGCTATCTGCATACAGCAATTCCATCTGAGTGGTGGTCCGCCTTCGGGCCTAGTCAGAAAATGGGAGGAAAAGCAATCAGGAGCAAACTTCTGTACAGAAGGTGATTAGAGGGTAGAGATTTAATATTAGTTTGAAATAGGTAAAAACAAAACAAACAAAAACATTTGGTGTGTCTTTTCCTAGCAAGTGTGTCAAGTGTAGCAGTAAGAGAGTGACAAGCCAGAGCTATAGCCAGGTAAAATCTTTATAAGAGAAGTAGTAACCGACATTTATATAGTATGTATTGTATGACAAGGCATTGTTCTAAACACTCTACTCTCTTAGCATGTGCTATTATTATCCTAATTCATACGTGCAGCTAAGCAATTTGCCCAAAGTCGCACAGCTAGGAAGTGGCAAAGCCAAGGCTCGACACGAAGCAATCTGCCTGCAATATTACTGTGCTATCCTGACACTCGTGGCCGGGTCGCTCAGCATATAATTTAAAAAAGAAAAAGAAAGAAACTAAACCAAAATATAATTCTGTTACGGAAGCTCAACTAAATTCAAAATTTTCCCCTTGCAGAGATGCTTTATTTAATATCAGTTTTTACACATGTTTTTCACCTCGTATTACCCTGCTCCCTTGGCACTTCCTGCTGGATAATTCAGCATCAGCTTGCACCAGTTTTTGGCAGCCTGGTGAGGTAGGCAAAGATTGTTTCCCTAGAGCCTAAACTCACCATAAGCATTTCCTTATTTACTCTTGAAAACCAAATGAATACCCTGTTATTGCTCAGAGTCACGATTATCACTAAGGACTTAAATGTCATTGTGTCTACCAGACTATAAGACTCTAAAGGGCAGGCACCCTGTTTTCGTCAACTTTATATCCTCAACTTTACAGAGTGCTGGTACATACCAATTTAAAACATAAGGTCAACTTCATTTTTTCAGTGAGGAAAAATAAATGATTTGAGATTTCTCCAGGCATTTTTGCAGTTCAAAGGGAAAAGCAGATAGCACTTTGGAGAATTTAGGAAGAGAAAGTCTTGCAGCCAGTTTTGTACACTGTCAATTCTCCGCACAGCCGAGGGACCAGGGCAGAGGGAAATAACTTTGCCGGGAATTCCTAACAAAAGTGGGTCTTTTAGGAGATGACCTTTAGACCATCTCTTTACAGCTATTTTCTGGTATCCTAAGAGCAGGAACAACTAGGCTGTCACAGGGCCTGAAAGATGAAAGTTACCTTAAGAGATTCTCTCCTCTGCTTCATGCTGGATTCAAACTACACTAGAATGTTTCGAGTGTCAGTAACTTCTGCTTAGTCACTTAGAAAAATAAGACACAAACTAATTCGGCACATGGACCACACCTAGAGCCTGAAGTTATTTTTTTATCTGTTTGCCCAATGTTTTTAAGATAAGGAAATTTTACCTAAAATCCATATTCAAGGCTTTTCTTAAAAAAACAAAGGATCTGGTAGCCTTAGGCCCATATTCCATCAAGGCAAAATGAGCAAGAGTTGAGTGCTAGCTATTTGCTTTAATTGGGCACGTCCTCTTTAGGCAATCATAATGGCTCCAACTCATAATTTTACATCCAGCCAAATTACTCATTGACCTTTCCTGACTACTGGGCCTTATATCTGTGCTGTCCATTTGCTTTATTCTTTCTGGTTCTGATTGTATCCATTCATTCAACAAATATTTACTAAGGATTTTTTATTTTCAAACATCTTAAGATGGTTATTTAATTCACCTAGTATCAAATATTACCAACTCTCAATTTGAGAAGTTCCACATGTTTCTTACACATTTAACAGCATGTATTATTTATATTTTTTGAAAAACGTTACAAATATATGTTGTACCCTATTTGCTTTTAATACAAGATAATGATTAGGAGTTGGCTTATTATTCAAACCACTTCAGAATATAATTAAACAAAGTAAGAATTAAGTACTTAAAAACATACCAGCATGTTAAAATTAAAAAAAATCTCTCACCAATCAAAATTATTTATTTTATATGCCAACTACATGTCTACAACTTCTTTGGCTAACTGCTTTAAATTACTATTTTCTAGTAATTTATGACTATCTCCTATATTATTAGGAAATTTAGGCAACTTTAACAAATTAACATACAACTTCCTTAAAGGGGAATAAACCTTTAGGAGAAATATGGGGGAGAGGGGGTAATGGGAAAAAAATTGCTCTCCATAATCATATTTAGTGAGAAATGTGTGAGAATACATTAAACTGCAAATTTCACAAGAGAGGAATTTTCAGTAGAACTTTTGTCAAAGGGGAATATGATAAAGGACTAATTTTCTGATACATGGAAGCTTTAGTAGAAGCATGCCTATTGGATAACCTACCCAGGGCCAAGCCTGAGGCCTCCGATGTGTGCAATAGTTATGACAAAGAGCAGAGGGAAAAAGAATATTCGCCCAGCCTTTTCAATCCCCCGTACCTTGTTTTTAGGTTTCACGTCACCACAAAGCTTCATCAGGTCTGAAGACAGGGTGCTATATGCAAATATATAATCACAAGATTAAAAGGGAACTTACTATACAAAACTGCATGTCCTCTATGTTTACAACTATGGGAAGAATTATATATGCCTAGCTGTGGAAAACAAAGCAAGACAGTATTTAAAATAAAAATAAACTAATATAAATGTTTTTCATTTTCCTTACTTAAATATTCCAGTGTTTTTATTTTAAAATGTGTGGTAGTTAAGCTTAACTGAGTTCTGTTTCCCTATTACTGTTTCCAGTGCTATTCACTCAGCCATAAAATTCAAAATTATTTGTTTTATAAGGTTAATTATTTGAAGCATCAAGATAAAGTATTAAAAATATTATAGAAACAACTAAAATCTATTAAGTTCCCAAAGATTCTCTTACCTTCCTTCTGATCCTGGGCTGTTTAAAGGTGCATCCTCATCACTACTATCCTCTACATTTTCTATAAAATAAAAACATGTCCAAAATATATTATCCATGTTGCAATTTGAATGGATAATCAAATTGTATAACCCCTATACTACCATAACTATCAGCCCAAGGGTTCAATATGGGCACTTTGGTTTCAGTAGCTGAATCAAAATAGAAATGTAGAAAAACATTTCTAAGAAAATCCTTTGACTACATGTCCTAGGATGAGGAAAACATGTTCAAAATAGGAAAACCACAGGCTTGATAAACCATAGAACAACATTCATAGGATATAATTGAAATCTTGTACTTATCAGAGCATGTGTAATTATATTAGTGGCCTGGTGCATGAAATTCATGCGCATTAAAAGGGAATTAATTAGAGAAAATATTTTAACATTATTTGCCCTTTCTCTATAAAAGAAGTGTCAGAGATGAAAGAAAATTAGTAAAATGTCTATGAAAATCTTCCTCCTGTCAGAGTTTGATAAACTATAGAACAACATTCATAGGATAGAATTGAAATCATGTACTTATAAGAGCATGTGTAATTATATTATGTATTTTTTCATAGTATGTATTTGTCTCATGCCATCCAAAGTTTTGAAAACCCACCGAATAAAATATAAGAGTAAAGAAAATGCTTATGAGCTCCCTTTACTTTTGTTTTCAAGCAGAGAGAGTATGTGTGTGTTTAGGTACCTAGAGATTATACATCAGCATGCAGCTCATTCATGTGTACACGAAAGACAAAAACAATAGGTTTGCATGCAATGGTTTCATAAATGAACACAAATAAACCACTGCTATTTCAGAACAATTCTAGCAGGCTATTAAAAAAAGAAGAAGAAAAAGCAAACAAAACTACCAGGAAGGTAGTAAATAAAACGGCCACTGAAAGTGAACTATTTAAAATGTCAGTGAACCCGTAACACAGGTTCAGGTTTTTAAAACATACACATTGTACTATAAAATCAGTCCACAAAACTAAAAACAGGACTATAAGGAACATATATTAATAAAATATATGAGTTACCCCCTTAGCTTTTAATTTTATATCATACAAGTACGTAAGTAAACTAATCTCTTTCTCTGATGTTCTCTTTCTTTCAGCAGGTAGAATAGAATATTCAGTTATACTTGATACTTGATAGTATTATCTGAAAAGGGGCCCATCACCCGGCTAGTGTTGCTCAGTGGAAGAGTGCTGACCTATGAACCAGGAGGCCACAGTTCCATTCCCAGTCAGGGCACATGCCCAGGTTGTGGGCGTACAGGAGGCAGCCAATCAATAATTCTCATCATTGATGTTTCTCTCTCTCTCTCCCCCTCCCTTCTTCTCTGAAACCAATAAAAATATTAAAAAATAAAAAAGAGCCCATCTGGGACTCATACAAGGGAGTTTACTTTCTGAAGTGGAGAAAACAGTAGTATTGAAGGCAATGTGTATCTCAAAGCTCACCATTAGAGGAAGGTTCAAGGACCTGCTTCTCAACAGGTTTCTTGAGTACTAAGGTGACTGAATTAATTGATAACATAGAAAATGGGGTTAAAAGAAATGACAAACTAGCTTTTATTTTCCCATGTATAAAAGTGGACTAAGATTGTCTAGTATTCTTGTAGGGAGAAATCAGTTAGGATGGTAAATATCATATGAGTGCTTGGTAAAAACTACTTAGTTCCTGCCTATGCAGGTATGCCTAATCTAGAGATAATTATATTTTGGCATAACCAACATAGCCAGAGGTTAGAGGCGCTACCCATTCAGTCATCAAATCAGACCCCTCTTCCAGACTGAGCTTGGTTTGAGCACTACAGTCACCTGAGCTGCAGGACACACCGTCACCTCACTGTCACACTCTCAACTCCCAGAACATATTTCCTGCCCAATGCCAGCTTCTTTTCCCATCACCATGGAACTAAAGCTAAGGGCAGAGATTTGTAACTCCTGAATGCCTTAAAGTTCATTCATGTAAGTACACAGTTGCACAATCTCTTTTCACTGGAAGTTAACTAGTGAAGTTTTTTTTAAGCTATATTTTTAAAAGTTATATGAAACAGCCCCAGCCCAGCCAACATGGCTCAGTGGTTGAGCATTGACTTGAACCAGGAGATCATAGTTCAATTCCAGGTCAGGGCACATGTCCAGGTTGTGGGCTCCATCCCCAGTGTGGGGGGGTATGCAGGAGGCAGCCAATAGATGATTCTCTTTCACCGTCGATGTTTCTATATCTCTTTCTCCCTCTATGAAATCAATAAAAATATATTTTTAAAAATCTATACTAATGAAAGGGTAATATGCTAATTAGACTGAACATCTTCCAGATGTCTATCTGGACAAAGCTATGATGGCAGGGGCTGAGGCAGAGGTGGTTAGGGGCAATCAGGGCAGTTAGGGGAGATCAGGCAGGCAGGAGAGGGCATATAGGGACAATCAGGCCAGCAGGCAGAGGCTATTAGGTGTGATCAGGAAGGCAGGCAGGCGGTCCCAGGTTGTGAGAGGGATATCTGACTGCCAGTTTAGATGTCGGACAGTTGGACATCCCCCACGGGATCCCAGATTAGAGAGGGTGCAGGCTGGGCTGAGTGACTCCCCACGCCATACACAAATTTCACACACAAGGCCTCTAGTAATAAAATAATAAAAAGCCAGTTGGTGTTGCTTAGTGGTTGAGCATTGTCCCATGCACCAGGAGGTCTCTGGTTCAATTTCTGGTTAGGGAACATGCCTGAGTTGAGGGCTTGATCCCCAGTGGGGACATGCAGGAGGCAGCCAATCAATGTTTCTCTCTAATTAATGTTCAATTTCTCTCTCCCTCTCCCTTCCACTCTCTAAAATTAATAAAAAAAAATTTAAAGTAGTGTACAGAAAAGAATTAGACTGGCAGCCCAGAGACTGCTATCCTTAGACAGGCCTGCTTGCAAAGTCGAACTTTGTCTGGCATCTGCAAAACTTGGCTGGCAGAGGGGCTGCTGGGAACCAATTCCAGCATGTAATAATTGCAAGAGTTTCTTCAAAAAGTTGATGGTACTTGGTGGGTTCAACAAGGGTGAGCCACATATGTAATTTACCTGTTGGAAAAGGCTAAACAGCACTTCCCCTAAACCTGAATAGGATAATCCTATGCTGCCAGAAAGCTGAGGGCATTTTATTGCCTCCTGTTGGCCAAACACCTGAACAGCAGTAGGCTATTCCCCAAACTGACAATAACCTTTGATACCTTACCCTTTGAAGTGTGTATTTCCACCTTGCCTTAGGATAAATCATGTGAATAAAAGCAGGGTCCTGAGTGAAGGAGGAGAGTCTAGCCCCTTTAGCTGAAGTTCCTCTGACCCCAAATGCCTTCCAAAATTCTCTTTAGTCTCCAGACTCTTTAATCATCTACGCACAGCCCCTTTGTCCAGAATGCTGAACCCTTTGAACCCGGCAAGGGGCCCCAGTCACCAATGAACTAATGAGAGTGGCTCATTGTACCTAGAATTTGTACAAACAATCTGGCTTCTGCCAAACTCCTGCTTTCCTCTGAGAGTCTGGGATCTGGGTATATTCTGGGCAGAGGGTATCTGTGTGAGAGTCCCCAGTAAAAACCTCGGGTGCTGACTCTCTAACGGATTTCCCTGAGTATAAACATCACAAAATGTTGCTGCACTTTCATTCCAGGGAGAAAAGGACATTCTGTGCAATCCCTCGTGGGAGGGTGAAACATAAGGAAGCCAGGACATGGACTCCTTTGTGTATCCTTCCTATTCTCATGAATCTTTGCTGTAGATACAATACTCTGAGCCCCATGAGTCTTCCAGCAAATATACAAAGTCGGGATACTAACGTAGGTAGAGAAAAGAGAAGGGAAAATAAAGATGATCTTCAAAAACTAATACAAGCCTGTCAGTATGAAGTGCTAGCCCTTGCCCACCCTCTAGCCTTGTTCCCTCATTCTGTGCCACGTACTTGTTGCTCTAGGGCAGTGGTTAGCAAAGTCATTAGTCAACAGAGCTGCAGTTTGCTGATCACCGCTCTAAGATACCAATCTGCTCGAACACCTTGTGCACACAATACAAGGGCTAATTATGCTTTCACTGAGTCATTGCCTAGATTCACTCTGTTCAGGCCTCCCTTCCACCTTGTCTTGTGCCTGGCTAATTCTTTTTCTTCCACCTGGCTAACTCTCTTTCCTTCTTTATGATTCAGCTCAAATGTCACCTCCTCTTGAAAGCCTTCATGGACTCCTCCATTCCTGTTGGGTGGACCCATTCTGTGCTCTCATAATCCCCATACTGAATATATTTTAATCACTGCCCTCAATATAATATATCACAATCTGTCACTGTCTATCAACCTTAATATCAAGATTACAAGGGCAAAATTTTGTGTCTTATATATCTTTGAATCCCAGCACTACACATAATACTTGAAATAACATTGGTGCTAATGTGGTTTTGTTTTTAGCAATGTATGTATGGCTGCCCAGCTTATGTGAATTTCACTTCCATTTTTTTTTTCTTTTATGCTTTTTCTTCAAGCACTTCTGGGCTACATGTATGGCCTTGATACCGGGGGCAAATTTCTGCAATTAAGACATAAGCTACATCAGGCAAATGGGTTCCAGCTCTCTGCTTCCGACCCTTCTTCCAGCTACGGATAATTGAAAGTTGTGAAAAAGTAACACTGCTCATGAAATTAGCAGCTTAACATTTTCATCACAAAAGGATATCAAAGAGGGCATAGCATTTTTCTTCCAAAGGAAAGAGATCAGGGACTTAAATGAGAATTTACTTACTGCTATAAGTTGAGCCAACTAAGAAAAAGAAGAAGGAAGAGAAAGAAGAATAGAAGGAGGAAAAGAAATGTGCTGATAACACATAAAATTGCAAAATTTCTGGTTATAACCCAGAAACTTGGTTAGGATATAACCAATCCTACTTTTTTTTTTTTTAACTTTTATTTGTTATAGTATGAGCAGTATAAAAGTACTAGCCTTTCCATACTTATATAATGCAGCTGATATAAAAGAAATGCTATTTTGAGATTATCATGAAGTGTAAACATTATAAAAATCATATAGCTCATGTATTTTATTTGTGTGACATTATTTTAAATAAATTCAGCGTGGCTCAATAGTTAAGCATCCACCTATGAACCAGGAAGTCACAGTTCGATTCCTAGTCAGGGCACATGCTGGGTTTCGGGCTCGAGGCAGCTGCTCAATAATTCTCTCTCATCACTGATGTTTCTATCTCTCTCTCCTCCCTTCCTCTCTTAAATAAATAAAAATATATTTAATAAATAATGAAATAAATTCAGATTCATAGAGTATGTTTATTCTAGTGACACAGAGAGGTAATTATATTTAATCTTTTGGTTACATTACTCTCCTTAAAGTAAAAAGCATTTTAAAAACTTGGACAACTGTATGATTAGAAAAAAGAAAGTTCAGACCAGGTTGTGAAATAATTTTGATTAAATAAAAACTGCTCCAAAATAAGGATTCAGAAAAATTGCAAGTAATAAAATTGTCCTTATATTCCTGGTTCTTCATGTGTATGATCACCAAGAGGAGTAGAAATAATACTGATAGGTGGGGGTAGTTCATGTGAATACTGTAGTGGCAACAGAAAAAGGCTGAAAATCTCTATACACAATAATCACTAACGCTTCTTCTAACTTAAAAATGTTATGATCTTAAATACTGTTTTAATTTGTTCATATAAGATGCTTGAGTAGTTTTATTTAATTTACAATATTAAAGTATATGTGCTTAATTTTACAAAACATAGCTAAGAATCTAACAAACATATACTAAAGATAAATATACACCAAAGATATATATCAAAGGAAGTTATTTATGGTGTTAAAACAACAGATGTAAGTTAATAGATATATTTAAAAATTAAAAAGAAATATATACTCTTTTTTTTTTTTTTGCCTTTTACAAGAAAGAGAAAAAAAAGTGCTTACAAATGGGAGCCACACTTGCAGTTCAAGTAATAAAAGAAAAAAGTTCACTAAAGCATACTTCTTGAAACATTTTAAGAATTTTAAAATCAAGCATGTATGAGAAAGACAAAAGACTTAGTATGTTTGTGGTTGTGGATACATTTCAAAAAGGATCATGCAAAACAGTGGTTGCCAATATACATTTAAAAAATAAGATGTACCACAATTAGTGCACATGAACAATTAGTAATTCATGCAGCTTGTAGGGTACACAGAAAGCTAAACATACTTACCTAAAGGTACGCTATCTAGATCTGTGTAAATAATAGCAAAAAGGAAACAAAAAGCAATACTCCAATCAAAACGGATCCAATGTTAAAAACTCCCACATAAAACAAGATTATGGTACTATTTGTAAGATATGTAGAATAGATGCCATAACAAAAACATTAATTTTTTTAAGGCAGTTAGATATGCAGAGTCAAGTAATGACAGTTGGCTAATATTATAAATAATTTAAATAACCAATTCAGAAACTTGGTTATTCTTCTATATCCATGAAAACTAACTCCTTAATAAGGTTAAGTAAGCCTTTTTACTGGTAAGTTGGTAATCATTTCTTGGGATGACAATAATGAATTACATCCCCCCAAATTTATACATGCAAATTAAAGAAGAAGTACCTAATAAAATAAAAATATAAGTAATATAGCATCTATTCAGTCAAGCTCTAGGAGAAAGAGTATAGTATAGCATACTCAAAAGAGCAAAGCTTCCATGCAATTATTTAACTAAAATTTAGTTAGATTACCTTGTAAAGCATGGCCCAGTAAAGCATCCAGCTCAGGATTTAACTCTGCTTTCTCTTTCAACATGTGGAATAAGAGCTGATTTTGTGTCGCACTGGTTATTTCTGTTTGCTTAAGCCGACCTTCAAGTACTTTAATTTGAGACTCTTTCTGGGCAGCCTGGAGACCCTGTAACACCACCAAAAATATAAATAAAATTATGTGAGGTCATACAAAAATATAAATAAAATTATGTTAGGTCATATAAAAAATCTACCAAACAAAGATCTGAATCAAATAGCAAGTGCATATGGATTTTGACATCAAATAGAGCTTACCTTGATTCATCATTCATCACTTACTAGCTTCGTGCCCTTGAACAGGTTACCTTATCTTCCTGATTCTCATTTTTCTCATATGCAAAGTTATATGAATAATACCTACTTCCTAGCACTAGTGAAAATTAATTAAGAAAACATAGCATAAAGGCTCTAGGCACAACATGAGAGGGTAAAATGAGTCAGAAATCACTATCACCTTCAACATTTAGGCAGAAGTTTCTTACAGGTGGCATGAATGCATTCCTATTCAAAGAGGATGGAAATGAAACTACATTTTTTTTCCTTTCAAATTTCATGTTTTTGAGCTGTAAAGAATCAGTATTGAACCAAAGTTAAGATACCAAATTTGTATGCAACCTAAGAGATTTTCTTTTCATTCTTCCTTTGTTAAAGCAAAAGAGAAATTAATTATTCCCTATGTTGTTTATCTGTTCTAATATACAAACACAATAGGTAGATATTGCTGATGCTTCTTAACTCTAAAAAAACAGGTAAAAGGGCCTAGCTGATATAGCTCAATGGATTGAGTGTTGTCTCATGGACCAAGAGGTCTCGGGTTCAATTCCCAGTCAAGGCACATGCCCAGGTTTCGGGCTTGATCCCCAGTGCCTGGGCGTGCAGGAGGCAGCCGATCAATGTGTCTCTCTCATTGTTGTTTCTGTCTCTCTCCTTCTCCCTTCCTCTCTGAAATCAATAAAATATATTTTAAAAATAAATAAATAAAAGGTAAAAGGAATATTTTCTAATTAAAAAGAACCTTTTTCCTTATCACAAAGGGAGGAGGTCACTGGAGAAAGATATAAAAACTACAATGAAATTAATCAGAACTTGGGTTTTCAATAACAGTGTTGATCTTACCTTATTGATGCCCATTGACAAGAAGTGACCTAACAGGTACCGCGCTTCCGTAAGTGTGCAAGCATTAATGACTGCGGTGACATCCAGGGTGTCCCCTTCTTCCTGCATCAAACCAGCAGACGATGTAACATTACTTTGAGCTAACTGTATTTAAACAGAAGGCAAAAGCCTATTGCTTCATTAGGTTAACTAACTGGACTCCTCAGAAGAGTGTAAACTGTAATCCCCACACCAAAAATGTAGTCTAGTTGAAAAGATGAGGCACAAGGTAGATTAATAAATGGTATATGTCTTTTACAAGTAATAAATAATACAAAATGAGCAGAGATAGCTAGAGAGCAGGTAGAGAGTGGTATATATAGAAAACCTAAGATGAATATTAAATAATTTTAAAAATTCCTTCACATAAAAATTAAAAGTGCTTTTAATAATAAAAAATACTTTGTAAAAAAAAATACTTTGTAGTAAGCCATTGCAGTTTTTTTTTTAATTACAAACCTTTGCTTCTTCCATCTGCATGATGTTGGCTTGACAATCAGAAATGCTGTCGTTGATGTAATCTATATTCGCAGTTAGTGACTCCATCTCCTCATTGATGTTGGCCACATTTTTATCTCCCTCTCCACTCTCCTTGACTATCTTTTCCCTTCTTCTGGAAAGCTTCTCTCTTCTTTTTGTGAGTTCTTCCCGTTGCTATGGAGGAAACAGTTGAGTTCTAAGACATTATGCTCATCTTGGACATGGTGCTAAGTGAAATAAGCGAGTCACAGAAGGACAAGAACCGAAGGGTTCCACTGATGTGATGTACATAAAAGAGTCAGACTCTTAGAACCAGGAAGTAGAATGGTGGTTATCAGGGGCTGGGGGAAGAGGGAAATGGGGAGTTGCTATTCAATGGGTGTGAAGTTTCAATTATAGAAAATGAGTAAGTTCTAGAGATCTGCTGTACAACCTTGTGCTTATAGTTAACAATACTATGCTATACATTTAAAGTGTGCTGAGTACAGATCTCATGTCATCTGTTCTTACCACAATTAAAAAAAAAAAAAAGGATGTTCATTTATTCATACACAATGCAATCAAAACACACTAGGGGAGAAATCCTTAGTAAGTATTACATTTACCCAGGGAAAAAACTTGAAAAACTGAAACTTCACAGCCAGCTAAGGGAGAGCATATCTGCTTTCTATTTTCCACACCTTGAGAAGCCTATTCATGTCAGCCTCCATGTTGGAAATCGTCATCTTCTGCATGATGATGTCCGTGACTCTGCGTTCAAGAAGCTGCCACTTCATGCGTGCCGTCTTGGAAGTAAACACCCGGCCAGTCAACCCTTTTCTCTGATATATTTTTCTATAATCATACATAAACAGACAAACATAATTACTTGTGTGCTTACTGGATTATGCCCTAGCACATAATATGCTGTTTTTTCATTTAAGTCCAACATTCAGTAAGAATGCCACACAGATTCTGTTAGGAGGAACAGAAGAATCGTGTTGACCTTGTTCCATTGGTGGCAGGCGTGGGTAAGGCCTGGACTCTTGCCACGGGAATTCTCATTTTCTGCTGAGCTCCTGCCCTTGACGCATCTGTTTCTGCAGCAGCTACACTGGAACCTGTGTCCTGAACGGGGGTGTCGGAGGAGCTCAGCTTCCGCGTGACTTTCCCAGCCACTTTATCTGACATGGGCCTTACTTGCCGACGGAGAGCTGTAACCTGAAATAGCGACAGAGACTGACTCATTCCCTTCATCGATAGAAATACATCATTCATCTCAAAGCCAAATGTTTCCTCCAAATGGACAACTTGCCTCTTCAGTTTTGCGACGAAGAACCACTTCTTGGTTTCTTTTTTGGGCTTCCAGAAGTCTAAGTTGATGCTATAAAAGAATATTGAGTAAGTTAAAATAGTAAACTGGAAAATACAATACTTCTTCCTCCTACTTTAATATATTCCCCATCCTGCTGGGAACTATGAGTTCTTAGCAAAATCTGAGCTAACAACAACCTTGCATCCATTATTGCAGATATAGGTATTTTATTCCAATAAACACAAATGCATATTGATCTAGCCATCTTTCTCCAAAAGGCTATCTCTGTGACACATACTTTTAGTTAACAAACACTCAAAGAGTGCTTACTATACACAAGTACTTTTCTAAATGCCTCACAAATAATCCCATTTCCTTTTTGTTAGACATTTTGTTTTGCTGGCTGAGGCACACACAAGAAGAAACACAGTTTAGGCCAGTTTCAATAGATGTACCTTACAATATATACAGTAATTTCAAACTCTGTTTTAAATATGGGGAGAATATAAGTGAATTGGATTAGCACTGCATAATAACTTTTAAAAATGTTGGGTAAAGTAAATGGATAATGAAACATGTTAGTTTTGCCTATCAATTTGTTTCTAGATACTTTATACGATAAAGACAATTAATTATGGATTACTTTAAGCCATTTCACAAGACTATAATTTAGGGAAGAATGTTGGGTTAAAAAAATATAGGTCCTAATTCTGGTTCTGTCATTTGTTCAACTCTATGATCTTGAGTAAAGTTTAGGAATTAAACTTGATCAAAAACATTCCTTCTAAGACATAAATTTTGTGATATAAAAACTAATTCTTCATGTTTTTGATCCCAAATTGAAACAGGCCATTCATCTCATGCTTAAGCATATTCTTATGCCATTAGCTGAGAATTTTTAGAGAAAAGGATTTTATCTTAACCAAAGCATATTTTATAGACTATAATAATGATTGGCATAGAAGCAAAGTTAATAAATCTTCTTTAAATGAATAAATTACCCAAAGTTAAAATTTACATATAGTTTGAAACTTATTATTACATTACATTTCTTCCTATTAAAAGTCAGATTTCAAGCTCAGTTATATTTTTTGCGTGGTGTACAAATGTACTTACTTGATTCTCTAAAGGTACAGAGGTTAATATGACAAGAAAGAATTTAGAAAGTGGGTCAACATATACACAAAGCACCAAATAAAAAAGGAAGGAGTCTGAATGTTAGTTTTGTATGTGATTAGCCAGTCTCACAGCTGTATAATAGGACTAAAAGCCTGATGCAAAAAGATTCGTGCTAGAATGGGCTTTCCTTTCCCTGACTGCTGGCACTGCCTTTCCACTCCGGCCCAGCCCCTTTCTGCTCAGGCCCCTCCTTCCCATGCTGCCAGAGACCCTGAGAGACCACCAAGGGTGGAGGGTGGGGGAGTGCATACTGCCTCTGTCACTCAGCAGTTGGGTATGCAAATTAACTACCATATTTGTTGGGTTAATTTGCATATTGCTCCTGATTGGCTGGTGGTTTAGCAGAGGCCCAGTCAGTTTATATGCTTGTCTATTATTAGGTAAGATAGTATATCATTTATGATCATTTGTGGCAGATAATATTCCCAAGAGTTAATTGTTCAATACTGATCTCTCTATATCTAATATGAATTGGTAATAAATAAATAACATATATTGGAAGGCAACTGTTCCTGACATCCAAAATTTTTCACGAAAAACAAAATAAATAGTCAAAAAATGTAAATAACACACAAGTCTGTCAGTTGAGGAATGGGTAAACAAAATGTGCTCTATCCATACAGCCATGAAAAGAAATGAACTACTAATACATACTTATCAGGAATGAACCTTGAAAACATCATGCTAAATGAAAGCCAGAGACAAAAGGCTACATATTGCATTATACCATTTAGATGAAATGTCTTAAGCAGACAAACCATCAGAATAATAAAGTGGATCAGTGGTTATGAGGGGCAATGAAGAGGGTAGAATGGAAAGTGACTCTAATGGGTATAAGTTTCTTTTTGAAGTGACAAAATGTTCTGGAATTAGACGGTAGTGGTTGTTGCAAATTTCTGTGAATATATTTAAAACTTGAATTGTACATTTTAAAAGAGTGAATTTAACTCAATCTTTTTTTTTTTTTTTAAAGATAGGGTAACAAAGAATAGGCAAAAATGAACATGCACTTCTACTTGATTTTAGTAATAAAATAATAGTATAAACAAGTTCTAAAATGCCCAGGAATTGAAAGTGACAAAGTATACTGATTATTAAAATCCATTGATATGTTAGAAAAAAGAAATAAATGAAATAAATAAAACTATAATTATGGGAATCACCTGGCTAAAATATCTACTTTTCAACCTCATTACTTTTTCTCTACCTCCTTAAGTTTCATTTTACGTCCCAAAGTAGATTTCTATTTTCTGAAATATGCTATATGCTCAGTTTTCTCCAGGGAAGACTTAGAAAATGTTGAGAGAGAGAAAAAGGACCAAAGGCTGAAACTAACCAACAATAGGAGAAAGAAGGTGATAACCTCTTCTTTTAAGGAAAAATTTCATAAATAAAATAACTATATTGCCAAAAAATTTGGAAAGAATAAAAACCCAATCAACTAAGCCTATAACCCTAATACAACTACAGTTAGCATGTTGGGATATAACCTTCAAAATTTTCCCTGATTTCAATCAGGCATGCATATATAAAATGTTATTTTACACAATGTTAAATCACAGTTATTTTTCATTTTACTACTATGTGTTTTCCAAACTCTAATTATTAATGGATGAATAATAACCTATTAATTAGATGAGCTATAATTTATTTATATATTCCTTTTACTGTTAGCATCTTGCTTGTTTTTACCTTTTTCACTATTATAAATATCCTTAAAATTAAGATGTTAACACACAGCAATTTTTCTTATTTTAGAATATTTTCTTAGCCTTAGTTCAAGGAAGTAGAATTCTTGAGTCGAAGAATATGAACATTTCTGTATATCTTAAAGGTCTCTTCCAGTAAAACCTGGTTGTCATTCCAAGAACTTTTCAAAGAATCTGTACTGATGAAACTATCTTTAGAGCCATCCTAAAATTGCTCTCTTATATAAGAGTTCCCAGATCTCCCTAGAGATAACTAGTCGTTCTTTGACATTTTCTTCCTTCTCATCATGTAGGAAATAAGCCTTCAATAAAATTTATAATAATATTATAGTATTTTTCACAAACTTTTATATTAAACTATAATCCACATACTATATAATATACATCACATAAAACTAGTGTTTATTGTCCTTAGCCTGTCTTTAATAGTTATAATTATCAGAAACTTTTCTTCATTTATTAAATAATGTTGTCCCATGCACAAAATTCATACATAAGGAAGGCCACTCACATCTCTTTTACGTTGGTCTTTTTTCAATTGAGCAATCTCTCTGTTTCTTCTAGATTCTGTCAATCTGGCTTTTTCTTGTTCCTCTTTCATTTGTTTCATTAGGCGAACCTAAAAAAAAAAAAGGTAAATATATCTATTGGAATTACCTTATCACAACATTCACTAAATAAACCACATGAGTGGAATGAATTACTGAGAATTCAGAAATTTGACATGGAAATGTGAAGTTTTGCTTCATTACAAATGGTCAATTCTTATTTTAGTGAAATACATTTCTATTTCTAATAAGTTTGTAATATGTTTCTATCATATTGCTTATGCTTTTTATACTAGTATTCAGGGTTCAGTCGCTATAGGAATGAATTTTTGATACTTATTACCAGGTGCTTTGTCACCTTGAGCGAGTTACTTAACCTCTTTAGGTTTTGGCTTTCTCTCATACAAAATGGAGATAATAGTTCTATGGCACAAACTGTTAAGACAATGAGTCAATAGCTGTTCAGTGTTTATAATAGTGTCTGGCATATAGCGAGCACCCAATGCTTTTAGCTACTGTTGTCATCAGCAAATACACAACATAATAACCTACTTCCTAAATTATTTCCACATTTGCTATTTTAAGGAAACAACATTAATTGGTATGCCAAATGTTAATAACTGATCCCACAATTAAAGCAGGTAACAGATCAGGATTCAAATGTTCTCTTCAGTCAGGGAAGACAATTTGTACTTTTTCTTTTTTTTTTCTTTTTAAATATATTTTATTGATTTTTTATAGAGAGGAAGAGAGAGATAGAGAGCTAGATACGTCGATGAGAGAGAAACATCGACCAGCTGTCTCTTGCACACCCCCTACGGGAGATGTGCCCACAACCAAGGTACATGCCCTAGACCGGAATCAAACCTGGGACCTTTCAGTCCGCAGACATACGCTCTATTGCTGAGCCAAACCAGTTTTGGCAATTTGTACTTTTCTATGCATGGGAGTGATAAACATCAAATTCAAGATAGTTGTTACCTCTCAAAGAAAGAATATGATCAGGAACTTAATATAAAGGAAGTTTTGTGTAAATCTTTAATATTTAATATCTTAAACTAGGATATTAGGTATAGCGTTCATTGTATTATCATCTATGCTTTTTTGTTTGAAATATTTTATATTCTTGTTAACCTTGTGTAAGGGTTTTAAGAAGAAAAATACCCATCAAAGTCTCAGAAGCCATGTTGACCACATGCTTTTCAGCTACTCTGAGGAAAGGCCTTGATAATGGATGACAACAGGAAACAACTTCTAATTGCCCACAGAAGTACATCATTTGGAAAATATAGTTAACTTTTATCGAATATGGAAAGAACCACAATCATATTTTTGTCCCAAATGACACAAGGATCTTCAACATCAGACTTTAATGGAAAATAGAATCAATACCTTTGTTTTTTTCATTTCCATCACATCCTGCTGCAATTTCTTCAATTGCTTTTCATATTGAGACTGGTTTTTAAGCAGCCTTGCATGCTCTTTCTGGGCTGTCTGAAGTCTCTGCAATTCTTTATTCATGGCTTGGAGCTTCTTTTCATATTCAGATCTAACTTTTTTGGCCTTTTCTTCTGAGTAAGATTCCACTGAGCCTAAATGACCAAAGGATACCTGAATCTGTGTCACAGGTTTTTATTTCACAGATTTACAACTCATGACCTTCGAGAACAACCTCCCAAACTCAAATCAGGGTGTCTCTGAGTCACTTTCTCTTTTATTATCTACTCTTTGCTTGTTTAACAATTACTGAAGTCATTTTAATTTATAAAATGTTTCCAGCATAAATCAAAGACATTAAAACAATTAATCATGATGACAGACAAAATAACTAAGTAGCCTAGACAGGTACCAAAGGGAAATAAAATAAAAAATATTTTACTTAAGAGAAACATTGATATTTAATGTTGCTTCTAATATAGTGTTCTTTTCTAAAGGAAGAGATGATAAAGAAAATCTATTTTGATGACTTAGTTTGAACTTTAATTTGAATTAGAGATAATTCTTACCTAAGTTTTGAAGCACCTGGTCTCTTTCAAGCTGTGTGTCCCGAATTTTATGTTGTAACATCATTAGCTTCTCTTCATATTGCTTTTTCAGTGTCTGAAGTCTTTTCTGGCTATTTTCTAGTTCATCAATCAGCTTTTGCTTGATTGCAATTTCACAAGTAATGTTTGCTAAGTCTGCTTGATAATTGGCTATTTATAGAAGAAGAAAATAAAAATGCTGGGATAGACCAATGTATCATAATTCTATCTTTCAAGCAAGAGTGTGAAAACCATGATATCCACATATCCAGTTAGCAGTTATAAAAAACATGTTTTAGATAAAATTAAAACAGGTGAACAAGACAAAAAGTGTTCACATTGATCAGGGACAACAGACATGTTTGTACTAAATAAGGATGGAAATCACACAATGACTAAATCCAATAAGGGAAGAAGCATGACCTTGAAGGGCATACATAGGCCAATGGTCATAAAAGCTGTTTCATCAAGAATGAAATTGAGAAAATCAAGACTTTTTTGTCATGTTTTAATCAAATTCCCAAATGAATTTTTGTCCTTGTACCAAAAGGCAAGTACCTTTTTCATCTGACTCAGAATCTGATTCATCAGAGCTTTCACCCCCTTCGATGTCATCGTCGTCTTCCTCCTCCTCCTCTTCCTCATCCTCATGGTCACTCACTTCTTGATTTTCTTCCTAAAATGTGGTTTGTGACCACAATATGGCAAAGCAAACTGATTACCTCATTAAGAGAGATTACGAGAATACAAAGGGCAAAAGTACAAAATTTTCACTTTTCCTTAGTTCAAAAATCATTCCACGATTTTAAGGTTATTTACATAACAACTTTGTGCTAAACCAAAGAGTACTTCATCTCTCATGGTATTCTATCTCCCCACACACAATGTTTTCACAAGGCACAAAAATGAGAGTTGACAATATTGATAGTTCATGTATCTAAACAAAAGAGGTTCTAAAAAAACACACACACACAGTTTAAAATGAATGCAAGATAACCATCTCTCTTTTCCACACATAAGCTAGTCTAGCCAAGGACAACCTAATTCAGATTCGAAAATTTGCAAGTTCATTTTTCCAGACTTACCATGTCTAATTCATTGTTTTCTCTTTCTGAAATACCCTTTTCTTCTTTTTTCTCTTGGTCAGTGTCTGCATTATCCTCTTTACCAGGCACACTTTTGAAAAAAGGAACAAAAGGATATGGTATTAAAGCAGAGGGAAAAATGCTTCACTTTTTTCTTTCTGATTTTTAAAAATCATCAATTATTTGGGAAAACATACTTGAAGAATTGATTATTTTACTGACCAAAGTTATCATGTCTGATGCTTCAGAGGAAAATAGAAATTGCCATTCAATCCATAGTACAGTGATTAATATTAATGAAGGAGAAACTTATCATACCCTGGGAGCACGAGAACTGACGAAACAGCTAAGAACTAGTCACAGGAACAGCCACTGAATTAGAAGGTAGGCAATTTAAATGAAAACAAAATGAAAATAAATAGTTTTGTTCTCTCACCTGACATTTACAATTTTTCTCATCTAAATGCAAAGATATAAAAACTGCATTTTTATCTAATACATTTAAGAATAAATTTGAAGATTCAGAATAAATCTGCCCACAGTAAATTTGTCTATACTGGCTGTACCCATCGGTGTTCAGGTCTCCTCCCATAACATAGCACATGATGCTTTTTTCCAAGGCCATACCTACAGTGCAGGTCTGTTTCTGATAGTCTCCCAGAAATGGGTCTTTGCACATCAAAACTGTCTGAAGGCCAGCCTGACCTCTGAGTGAACAGAATGTTTCAGGGTCTGCCACAAGATGCACCATACCAATAGAAGCCTTCTCTTCAGTCATTGAGTACTACAATAACTACACACTTAACTACACACTCCTGGCAGTTAATGGTTATAACTAAACTAGGTCAGCCCTAGTAGCCCTGAGGAAAAGAGAGACTCTATAGTGAGCAAAGTTTTTGCACACCTAAATCACTTCACCCTTTCAGTGGGTTAGCAATCATAATCCATTATGCACAAATGTTATACTTCTGCACACTAGACTTGTACATTTAATCAAGCTGAGTAATATTAAGAAAGTGAACTTTACATGAATCTACATGTGAACATTTTCCTCTTGTGCTACAATAACATATTCAAAATATTAAGAATAAAAAGAATACTCAAAGAAAGCAATATTTTTCAAATAAAATACCCCCTAGCATGAGCTTAACAACTCTATCAGAATAACTTTATAACAGCTAGCATTTCTTTTAGATATTCTACTATAGTAAATAGTTGCTCTAATAGATGAATTTATTTACAGAATCTAGACTAAAAATTTAATCTTATTTAGGTTTTGTTATTATTGTTAAACTCTAATTTTTAACTCTAAGTCCCAATTCTGACCAATATTTTTATACTCAGACAAGAGAAATTATAAATACTTTTCCTTTGTATGTATTTTTCAGAGTTCTTAATTTGTTTATTTATAGATTATCTCTTTAATTTCTTTCTTCTCCACTAAATTATAAGCCTCATAAGGGCAGGGATCATGTCTCTTTGGCTCAGTATTATATTCCCAGGACCCATAGGATGTACATAATAAATATGCAGTCAGTGTTAAATACATTAATCCTATGACTGTGCTTGAACACCTCCATTCTGCACCTCTGCCTAAGGGTCACACTAATTATGTTGGAGTTCAATTGAAAGATGCATAGAGATGCATGGAAGACAGATGTCTAGAATGAGAAGAAACTATCAATAGCAGTAGCCGTAGCAGTGAAACAATCTTAACTGGAAAGGAACCAAGTAAATTATAGCAGAGTTCCATGAATGTTGTTAAATCATTCTGTGAGAGGGAAAGGTAAGTATACTGAGTGCCTGTTTTGCATCACTTCTACTATCTATAGTAGGACTGCTGATTTTCCATCACCATGCAGTTGAAGCTGAAAATCTGGGGGAGGGGGGAGGGGGGAGGGGAAATTCATCCAGTTATTCCATTCAAAGGTCAGTACCATAACACTGTTGTGTTATAGCTGAGAGACAGGACTGAAGTTACAGGCTAGGGAAGGAGAATGTATTAGGAAAGATATTTCTCATCAGCACTCCACTTTCTCTCACCTATGCAGTCTCCTTTCCTCATCTACAGCTGTTGCAGCATACATTATTATTGTTATTACTTCAAATTCTAACCCAAATTCTCTTTTCCTCAGGTATAACCATAAAACCACTTTATTCCAAACTCTTGACCAAACACACCCTCTCCTTTCCTCCAGTACCCAGTTTAACAAATTTACTTTTTACTTAATATAAAGTTAACTCATATTATTCGCTGTTTGTGCCAATTCTGATGTAGAAAAAAATGTAACTTTACGTTATCAATTTACCCTTATAAATCGTTTAAGGCTTAAACTTTTTAAATAGAAGTTGATGCTTTATAATTACTGCATTTCAAATATTCCAGTTTTCCTCAATAAATTGGGCAAATTATATGTAAAATACCTAAACAGCAATGAAAGATATTTAAGTCTGCACTTTACATAGATTCAGAATTTGGAGCTAGAAGGAACACAAGTGCTCGTGTGGTTGAACCCCTTTAACATTTGACAACCGGTGTCAACATTTTTATTGACAACCAAAGAAGAAACTGTGGCCTGGGTAAGCTAATCCACTCAACGGACCCAAACCAGGTGTTGAGTCTCCCAGGCCAATGTGCTAGATCCTGCACTCAAGGTTCAGTCCACAGTGGGGGGAGCATTAGCATCAACCAGGAGCCTTAAGAAATGCAGACTCTCAGCTTCTCCTCAGTCCTAAGGAACCAGAACCTTCATTCATCACCCCCCTCCCCCCAGGTGATCTGGATGCTTGTGCACATGAGAAGCTCTGTCCTAGAACATCAGACTGCTCTGCTTTCGCTCTCCTTTATGGAGGATATAAAAGTTGGAAGTAAACATTCCACTAAGTACATTGAAAGGGCTAAAATAGTTTCAGGTGGGAAAATGCTTCCACACACTATTTGAACTATGCACCTTATTTTAAAAAATAGAAGATATTTGACATTTTTAAGCCCTTAGTTGAATTCCAATGATAAACATAATGTCCTCGATATGTACTCATCAGGTGAGTTATAGTGTGACTCATTTTAGAATACTTTAAAGAAGTTGCAGAGTTATAGAATAGAATTACAGAAATGTTAGAATAACATGTGTAGGATATAATGGTGAAATGTAAATTGTCAAATAATTTTCAAGGGATTATAATTTTTAAGCTCTCATGTTTAAAGTAAGGTATTTGTTTACGTCATTGTTGCATAGCAAATGTTCTCGAAAGGCTTATTTTATGAGATGACATTTCTAGAGTGGTGCTTCTAAAATACATAAATATTATTAAAACCAGTTTATTTTCTATATCATTTTTATTATAGTCTGGGAGTTTATTTTAAAAATATATGAAGAGAAATTCTTCAAGGAGTAAAAAAATGACTTGATTTAAATACCCAAAATTCTGAATAAGTTAAAATGCAAGTGTTTATTATATAGAGGAATGCAACATTTTGTAACTTCTAAATGTTGCTCAAATTCCAAGTGGAAAAAACAGAGATTTCTTGTCTTTTGATGCTCACTTCAAATACATTTTAAAACATGTTTTCTTAATTGAACCTTAAAAATGTTTTGTAAATCATATCTGTCTTAAGGCCACAGTTTCCTTTTGCTTTGTTGACATTTTAATATTTTTTTTCAACAAAGATTAGACCAAATAAGGAAGAGTTCCCACCCATGACTTAGCATGGGCTGCAACAAAATGACAATTCCCACCCAAATAATAATTCCCAGTCTGCTAACAAGTTTCTGAAAGAATACATTCTGAAAGCCAAATGAGGGTCATTTCTTAACCTAAAAAAGTCTCCTTCATAAGTATGATAGTTTATTATGAAATTGCCTGAATTTTAATTAATGTAAATACTTAAAAAATATTATCAAAATATATTTGGTATTTTTAATTTTACAAAATCAACATCACTTTTAGAAGCACCAAGCTAAACCTGTCGGAAACAATTTATAATTCTATAACACATTTCCTCTTGAACGGCAACTAAGAATTTAAATGACATTTTAATTTTAAAAAACAAAACAAAAAAACCTGGGAAATATTCCAACCTTCTTTCTTCTCGATTGCTTTCCTCAAGTTTCTGTAGCCTTCAAAATCACGAGGCACAGTATTGGAAGGCCAAGCCAATGAAGGACAAACCAGACAGTAAAAAGCGAGAGTGATAAGGAGGTAAAAATGAAACATGAGCTTGAAGACTTTAAAATAAATTTTAAAGATATCATCAAAGGACAATACACAGTAAAAAGGCAATACATTTTGTAAGAATAAAAAGTAAGTAGAAAAACAAGCAGAATTATATATAAGAAGAATATGTAGACAATCAGTTGAAATTATTTAGCAATTAAATATAAAGTCTCAATTTATATAAATAGCAGGAGTGTTTGGATGCCATTGCTATTTTAAGTCTGAAGTGGATCAATTTTCTCAGTTTCCCACAAAGGCCTACTTTCAATGATATCCTTTGCCTTTTAAATCTTTCAGAAGCACTTTTTATGGCACCGTTAAAAAAACTTCAAAAAGTAATGCCTTTATACCATACTATGAAATTATCATTAATACTACATACTAGAATACTACTTTTAAAACTTGATTTCTATTTTAATATACTACATGTGAACATCATTACATCCAAAAAAAATCCTATTTCAAAATTATACATGAAATGGTATTATGGTCAAATGAGCGTGATTGTTATGATATTAGTGAAAAACTTTAATTTTATTAATTAAAATTAAAATCTCACAATCTCACTGTACTAATTATTAAAAACTAACTACAAAAGAACATCTAACGCAAAGGTGGCAATAAAATGGGAAATGTAGTACTTTCCATTAGTAAGATTATATTTCAACCAGAAAACTATTAAAAAAAAAACTATATGTATTCAAAGGCTTTGAAATAAATGTAAAGAACATTGAATATGCAGAATTGGGCATCTTTACTCAATGGAATGTACTGAATACCAATATTTGTCATGTAGACAACAGGAGAGATGTACTAGGCTCTGCAGAAGTGTATACGTCCTTGATACGTTCCCCTTCTGCCCAGAATTCCAAAAGCATCTTCCAGAGTCATCAATAGTTTTATAATAAGGAGACTGAGTCTTAGATATGAATTATCATTCCAGTTCTCCTTTTAATTTTGTAACATATGTGCTCACATGTGATTTTTGCTTTTTGGTCTATGATTGTTTTTCTTATATACTGCTATTACAAGAAGAGACTAGCAATCTTTCTGGAAAAAAAAAAAATCAACAGAGTGATAGTCACCAGGGTTCAAAGGTCAGTATAATGGCTAAAATAGAAAAGGAAATCCATTGCCTAAGAAATTTGTTTCTAGAATTTCAACCTGACACCACGAAATACAAATATAATACAGTCTGATGAGTAAATTTAAGTTTTGGGGGTTTTTTACAGTGCAAGTCATTTAAAGCTAGATATCCAAAAACATGGGGATAAATGTGTGAATCATAGACTTTCTTTATACATAAAAAATGCAAAAATACTTTATTTCTAACCTAGGCATATACTGATAATAATGAGCTATAGTGGCTCAAAAGTTATGGCCCATTGGCAAACAAACCAAATTTTCTATTTTCAATATGAAGAATTTTTGTTTGCCTTAGACAAGAGAGTTATATTTAAAATCTACAGATGAATTGAGCTAAGAAGTAGTTAAACTTTAGGTGTTTTTCCAATTGCCTTTTTAGAAAAGCTTTGCAATCAACAGTTCAAAAAGACAATGGAGGGTCAGAGAATAACCTAATAATCTGGTACTTCTCCATAATTTAAAAGAACTTCATTTTTACTTTATTTAGTTTCATTACAATATTTCTATTTGAGGGGGCAGTGGGGCAGGCAGAGCGGCAAGTGCAAATCTTGTTAACCATTCTAAAATGTTTATGTAACTGAAAAGCAGGCAATATAGTCTATTCAATTATTCTCCCTACTTTTTCTTCTATTTTTTTTTTTTTTTTAGAGTATGTTTTTATTGATTTCAGAGAGGAAGGAAGAGGGAGAGAGATAGAAACATCAATGATGGGAGAGAATCATTGATCGGTTGCCTCCTGTACAACCCTTGCTGGGGATCAAGCCTGCAATCCGGACATGTGCCCTTGACTGGAATGGAACCCAGGACCCTTGAGTCCAAAGGCCAACACTCTATCCACTGAGCCAAACCGGCTGGGGCTCCCTTATTTTCTTACTATCTTCACTTATTTTACAGATCCACACACAGGTAGAAGAGCAATCCTTAAAACGCCACATATCAACTATTGGTAGTACCTTTGACAAAGACTCTGATGCTGAAGAAGGTGAAATGGGACATAGGATGTCTACCTTGCATGTAAAATGGGACATAGGATGTCTACCTTGAATATAAATGCCACTCAGCTAAAAATGACCCAGTTGCTGCTCTTCCTACCAACACTTATAAAGTCAGAGACCTCATAGCCACTGAAACCAAAAACTAACAGCACAAAACAAAGTAAATTAAAAGGCATGGAGCTTTAAAGAACGTGTGGATTCAGTGGGGAGGGAAGAAAGCAGCTATGAGAACCCAAAGGTGGAGCCCGGACAGGTTTGGGAACTCTCAGCCAAAAGGTGGTCATAAAACAATTCTTTCCTACATGACTGGATTTTTTTTTTTTCTTTCTTGATGGGGTTGCTGCCCCAAATCCTAGTGATTGGATTAATGTTTCCTCTTGCAAAATTACAGACATCCCTAGAAAAGAAACTTACTGGTTATAAGTCATTTCTACTGGCATGAATTCCTTTTGTCAGATGGCTTCGCTCCCAAGGATGAATTTAAAGAAATCAGAAGAAAGCAGATGATTTTTAAACTGGGAGTCATTTGGAGACTTGCATGGGAACTGACTGTGTAATGGACACCGGGACTGAGGCAGCAGGAGGACACAGAAAGTCAGTAAATGAGAATAAGAAAAAACAAGGAAGGCAGAAATTCACATCCTCCCCTCCCCCAGCCAAAGGTTGGCTACACCCATGAAGTGAAAGTTTCTTTCCCCCTGTTGTCTTTTTCTATCCCCTTCTGACTTGCTTTCACACTATAAAATGGGTAAAAATCATTTTGTGAGAGTTGGGAAACTTGGACAACCAAGGTCATGCCCTTGACCGGAATTGAACCCGGGACCTTTCAGTCCTCAGGTCAAAGCTCTATCCACTGAGCCAAACCGGTTTTGACAGAACCCAGATTTTATAATGTCTCTGATAAATAAAATAAATAAATCTGAGTCATGTAACACAACTCGACCAAAACCAACATACCCAAGCAAGAGCTATTGCCTCCATCAAGTTCCTATGGAAGACTATCAACTCTCTTCAGTAAACCTGATGTCCTTGTCAACATTTCTGGAAATCTTCATGACTTGTTTTACCTGCAGTAAACCCTGTGGCTAAAATGAGAGCTTACCTGGATTTTAAAAGTAGGAACATTACATGCAGCTGAAAGTTATTTGGATCTATAGCTAAAAGTTATTGATGGTGAACAAAATCTTTGTCAAACCTAGTAAAATAGTATTGGTTTTCACTTTTTAATCCACAACAACGTTTGAATAGGGTGGTAAGAAAAATTCTATTAAACTTAAGTTTATATTTGTGGTTAAGTAAATTCTTAAACTGGTTCTAAAGGCTTTTACAGTTATACAGTCTGCGGTACTCAACATTTTTATGGGTTCACACTATATTATATAGATTTCTGTTTTACAAAGACACACTAACGTGTATGAAAATGATTTATAAAGCATTTTTAAAAAACACTTATAGGAGTTATTAATCTTTAGTAAGTATCCATTTGTTTTTCTAATTCTAAACTCTCTTATACTTTTTTCACATGCTAAAATAATATCTCTCAATTTATCTGGCTTATTTTTCTCCTCAAAATTTTTAAAAATATCATGACATTTTTTGTCTCTTTTCATTTATTTATATTTATTAGGTGATACAGTAACATTTCTGAATTTAACTCAAAAAACAGAGAAATGTACCCGTGGTTGTACTTATTATTCATGAACATAAACCACCTAATCCTTTAAAAATAACTCATAACTTTGACCTTATGACCAACTGCAGAATTAGATTTTATAAGTAAACCATAAGTCATGTGCATCAGTCTCATTTTGTTGGGTCACAGTGGTTTTGATAATTCTATGATCATTATTAATTGCTCTGCATAAGAGGGAATCATTATATATATACTTTTAATTGATTTTAGAGAGGAAGAGAGAGGGAGAGATAGAAACATCAATAATGAGAGAGATCATTGATTGGCTGCCTCCTGAACAGCCCCTACTGGGGATCCAGCCACAATCAAGGCATGTGCCCTTGAACGGAATTGAAACCAGACCTTTCAGTCTGAAGGCTGACGATCTATCCACTGAGCCAAAGGGCATTATTATATATTTCTTAAAGCTGCCATAATCAGCCTCCATAAAAAGCACCTGCTAAAACATCAGTATCTTAAGAATCCAACTTCAATTGCAATGCCTTCTAACTACAGATGTATAACTCCTTGTTTTAATTATTTCAATAATTCCTTTTTAACTCAAGGACACAAACAGAATTAATATGAAGAATTTTACCTCCAACAACTTTGACCAATTGTTTTCTTTTCATGGAAGAAATGCTGGCTGCCTAAATAAATTTCTAAATAAACTAGCAAAGCAATAGGTAGACTACATGTCAATAATAATTCTACAAAGTGCATCCCCTGTTACAAACATTTGGTAAATAAGATAGCTGTGCTTCCTTTTGAATATCTAGCCAAAAATGCTTAAAATTATTTTGACTGGCAAGTTCAAAATATATTTGACTGCACCATAGAACCATATGCAAACATGTCAAGAATTTATGAGTATTTAACCACTCATACACTATCAATGATCAAAAATTTTTTTTTTCTTCTTTGCACCCAGTTGATTTCAGGAGGGGATATTATCAGGATGCAAGGAAAAGAAAACCTAGAACAGTGGTGCAAGGTGAATAATTCCTTGTGGGAAGATTTAGGTAATAAATAACTGTCATATAATCAAATTGGAAGCCCGGCAGAAAATAGTTAAGAAACCAAATAATATTAAGTGACAGCCTGATGGATAGGTTTAGCCTTTAGTTAAACTAATCTAGACAGGAACTAGAATGTATCCATGAGACTATTTAATCGCATTAGAAAACAGGGTGGGAGGAAGGAGGATGAAAACATTGAGTCATTATGGTACAGCAAGCTTTGCAGAAAAGAAAGATGAATGGAATGCAAAAGCAGCTATCTGAAGAAATAATAAAATAGTCTCGAATAGTAATTTTACCTTGTCATAGAGGAAATAAAATTCATTACCATAATATCATAGTTTAACTTTTTTACATATAAGTAGAGATAAATTATTAGAAGCATAATTATAATTGTCAGCTAATTTAAATGGCATTTTATTTACTAATATATTTATGAGACCATGTATACTCACTGTAATCGCAAATTAAAATATCCTGAAAAGTAAAGAGGGGAAAAAATAGGGATTCATAGACCAGTGATTTTTAAAACAATACCTTTTCTTCTTCTTCTTTTCTTTCCTTTTCAGCTTCTCTAAATCTTTCTTAGCTAGGTCTATAATTTCAATGGTCTCCTTGTCTGAGGACAGTATAGTGGGAGAGAAAGAGGATGGTCCACTGAAATACGGTGATCTTGCTGTGGCTCTTGTCAAGTTCTTCCGAAGGTTCTCATTTACTGCTTCACTTTCTAATAACTTTGCCCTAGTGAATAAAAAACATATTTAAATAGGAAACATTTTTTTATTGTGGCAAAAATACATAACATAAAATGCTCCGCCCTAACCAGTCCTGCACCACCAAGTATATTAACCCTGTTGTTGCAACCAGTCATCATCGATCTCCAGAACTTCATCTTCTCCAACTGAAACTCCATATACATGAAGCACGAACCCTTCACTCCCCTCTTCTCCCAGTCCCTGGCAGCTACCATTCTACTTTCTGCCTCTAAGAAGGTGACCACAGCAGGAATACATAGGCATTTTAATTGAGTTGTTTTGCATGCGAAAAAATATTTCCAGAATGTCTTTCAACGTTGCTACAAGGTAGGTTTTGTTTTTAAATAAATGTGTTCACAAACATTAATGTGTAGGGTATTTTTTTAATTCCCTGGTTATATAATTACAAATTTGAAATCACGCTCGTCATGCTCAAAAGTGCCAAGAGCAATTAGATTGCTTGCATTCTGGCCACTAGGCATTAGTTATCCCATCTTTGCAAAGCCATCATTTAAACTTAACCTACGCAAGCAGCATGGCTCCCAACCTTTCAGCCCCTCATTCATCAAGCTATAATAGCATTTCCAAATCTTTGCAAAGAACAGTTAGTCAAAGTTGCCCCTAACTGTCTGAGAGACGTCTGGCTCCTGCCTATGTCATGGGAAAAGATGATATCTCCAAGGGAACCTGAGTCTGATAATTGAAAGAATTCTTTTGTTTGCTCAAGTCATTCTACTAACAACAGAAGAATAATGAATGTCCTGTCAGTAATATGCAAAACTACAGAATGACCCTGGATTTGAGACCAAAAGAAAGTCAGAGAGTCCTCCAGGCCAGTCTCTTTATTTTTATTTGATTGAAACCATCAAGAACACTGTTCTCTACTTCAATATAACAGATTTCCAAGGACATTTGACAAAGGTGACTGAGACAGGGCTATAAAAAGAAAACTTACTACACTCTATCTCAAAACTGTAATACTAAGCACTTTTGCCATATGTACAAATATTTCAGAGAAAATGCTAGATTATTTGCAACTATTAAGCTCTCAAAGTCATAGTCAATTCTGTGCTTTTTCATTATCTACTGAAATTATTCATGACACTGTAGCAACTGGCTAGAGGCAGAATGTATAGAAATCAATGAATATATGTTTCCAGTTACTGTCCTACTAATTTTTAATGAAATTGCTTAATTATCTGGTATCATATGTGAGCAGAACAATAATTATAATATTTTTAACTGGTTGAATAGCTGTGTACAAACTTCTAGGTTAAGTGACTTCAAAATTATTTTAAAGAAATCATAAATATAATTATGTCATTTTTAAAACAAGAAGGCAACCAAAGCCCTGACTGGTACTGCTAAGTGGTTAGAGCATCGACCTGCACATCAAAAGGTTATGGGTTTGATTTCCAGTCAATGGCACATACCTGGGCTGCAGGTTCGATCCCCCAGCCTCAGTCGGAGCATGTGTGGAGTCAACCAATCGATGTGTCTTTCTCACATCAATGTTTCTCTCTCATTCTCTCTCCCTCACCTTCCACTCTCTCTAAACAATCTTTCTCAACATCAATGAAAAGAATATCCTCAGGTGTGGATTGACAAGAAAATAAAAAAATTAAAAAAAAGAAGGACACCAACAGCAAGCTAACCTACCAGTTGGAGCATCTGGCTCCTGGTGGTCAGTGCACATCATAGCAAGTGGTTGAGTGGACTTAGCATATCATTAGCATATTACACTTGGACTGGTTGAATGAAGGACTGGACAACTGGACACTTAGCATATTAGGCTTTTATTATATAGGAAGTTTGCATTTGGTAGAGGCATAGTCAATGTTTCTTCAATCTTGGTGCTGATTAAGGCTAAAACTTTTAGGGCTCATCTCCACAAATCCCAATGCTACATTAGCAGAACCTGCTTTTTAAAAATTGTTTTTATTTTTATGGGCTATAGAAAGAGAGTCTCTCTTTCCCTTCAGACTCACCACCCATCTACTAGTTGCTACCTGCATTTCATTTAACAGGAGGCTAAGCAGTGAGGCATGAAAGGAAATACCCAGACTTCCTTAGGAAGGAGCTGACTGAGAGCTTGCCTCTCAGCTCTGTTATTCACTAAACCTTGGACCATTCATCTCTAAAAGCCTCCACTGTTTCCTCCGTAAAATGGAGATGAAAAATATATACTTCCCTAGAACTACTGTAAGGATCAATGATATAGTGAATTTAAAACTCACCTGACTGATGTATATTTAACAAATAATAACTATTTTATCTAAAAGTTGCTAACAACAATATAATCATCTAACATAGGGGATTCGTTAAATCAATTAAAAACAGAAGAGAGTATTATATAAAACCATGCAAACATCATGTTAGAAAACGAGTTAGCAACATTTTAAAAATCCTCATAATAGCTTGTCCAATTTCAAAGAATAGATAGCAAAGCAATATATACACCCTGATATCAATTTTGCTAAAGTAGATGTTGAAAAAATATTGAAGAGATACACCAATTGTTAACATTGGTTATAGAAATGGTGAGACTATGGTTTTAATTTTGTTTACACTGTCTTTTATTTAAAAAAAATTCTACAAAATATATAAATCCCACCAAAATAAGAGTTAATTAATTAGTGATGATTCTTGTTTCACAAAAAAATAATATGACATGTAATTTATTAAAAGATAACTGGTATTATTTTACAACTAGAATGATAAGACTTGAAATATAAACATTTTCAAGTGACAATATATAAATTTGTGTTAAGTTTAAGAAGCTGTCTTTCTAAGACCAATTTTTGATAGAAATAAGAATTGGAGCAGGATTTAGTAAATAAAAGCAAAAAGTGATAACTTGGACATAAAAATGATAACATGTCAGATCTTTACAGTACCTTTGAATTTAAGAACTTTTATATCATGTACTTTTATTTGAGCCCCATAGTAACTCTTTGAAACTAGCAGGTATTACCTCATTCTTATAGATGATTCAAAGCTCAGAGATGTTAAGTAACTTTCCCAAAGGCACACACTTCTTAAAAAATAGAGGCTTAGCCGGGACCGGTTTGGCTCAGTGGATAGAGCATCGGCCTGCAGACTGAAGGGTCCCAGGTTTGATTCCGGTCAAGGGCATGTACCTTGGTTGCAGGCACATCCCCAGTAGGGGGTGTGCAAGAGTCAGCTGGTCGATGTTTCTCTCTCATCGACATTTCTAACTCTCTGTCCCTCTCAATTCCTCTCTATGTAAAATCAATAAAATATATATATTTTTTTTAAAAAATAGAGGCTTACATTTCAAACCAAAGAATCCAATTTAGATTCAAAGCTTGTTTATGCTTATCCCATGTGTAAATCATGTGTATGTTGTAAATTACAGTGCTGGGTCTCTACAAGCCTGCTCCTCAGGAGTGGGACACCCCTAATTAGAGAACCATCAAAAAAGAGTTGGGAAAGTGGGACAAGCTACTAACCTATACCAAGAAAGATTTGATCACTGATTGGTCTCTGTTTGATGAATGGCTTAAAGAATGGTCTTGCCCTAGCCGGTCTTCTCAGTGATTAGCATTGGCTCCTGGACTGAAAGGTCCTGGGTTTGATTCTGGTTGAGGGCAGGTACCTGGCCTGGGAGCCAATTCATGTGTCCCTCTCACATCTATGTTTCTCTCTCTGTCTCTCCCTCTCCATTCCACTCTCTGTAAAAATCAATGGAAATAACATCCTCAGGTGAGGATGAACAAAAAACAAAGAATGGTCCCAAGTTGAGAACTAGAAGAAAGATATTTAATGCTGCTTCAGTCACTAGGAGGAGTGGAAATGACCGCATCAGTCTTCTAGGAAAGAGTGCCTACCACTGGTGAAGCCATTTGTCCAAAGGAGAGATCAAGCTTAGGTAAGGCCTCAGAATAACAGGGTGGAAGACAGGGAACAGAGCAGGGGACCAGCCTTCATTGCTGGCCAGTGCTGAGGAAATAAAAGACAAGCAGGCTAGGAACAGGAGGAGAATCTTCAGGAACTGAAAGACAGATGTCAGGTGTGTCTCAGAATGGGAAAGATGGGTGCTACAGAATGAAGAAAGACAAGTTTTGGGCAATAGGCAGGATGGAAATGTAAGCCCAACTTGGCTGCTGACCAGAACCAGTACCCAGTGGTCCAACAGTCTCTGCCAAAAGGTAAAGCTTGGAGACATGTATAAGAACAAAAATGACAGTTAATAGAGTCACTCTATCTACTGCCACATCAGATGTCTGCTCATTTGTTGCTTTTGAAACACTTAAGGTATCCAATATGCCTAGTAGAGGCAAGAACAGTGGAAACACTACTCAACTCTGTTTCAGAATTGTTACAATAGCCCAGCCAGTGTGGCTCAGTGGTTGAACGTTGACTTATGAACGAGGGAGGTCACAGCTCAATTCCTAGTCAAGGCACATGTTCAGGTTGTGGGCTCCATCCCTAGTAGGGGGTGTGCAGGAAGCAGCCAGTTGGTGATTTTCCCTCATCATTAATATTTTTATCTTTCTCTCCTTCTCCTTACCTCTGTGAAATCAATTTAAAAAATATTTTCTAAAGTAAAAAAAGAATATCTAGAATAGTCAGAGGAAGAGAGGAAGAGAAAGGGAAAGAGAACACAAATACAAGATGGAGACGTGTTAGAGTTAGGGTAGCTGTGAAACATTACCCGCTGGGTTATTTTTGGCAAATGTGTACAGAAATGAGATCTGAGCTACTTAGATGCTCCCCTTGGAGCTGACTGTGGATTTACTGAAAGAGAAAGTAGCTGAGCCATTGGGACAAACCATAAAACCTAAACATATTATAGAAACAATTAGTGTCCCTGACCTTCTTTTCAATTCCTATTCCCGCAGTCTGGGCTCAGGCGATGACTCCTTTTACTGTTTCCTATCATTCCATTTACTACATGTACATTCTCCACCTAGACTGTGAGCTCCTTGTTTATGTCACACTTACTCAGTCATGGCATGGTGCCTGGCACATAGGGAGCATTTGTAGTATGTGTGTGAAATGTGAGTGATGAATGAGCCTCTGTACCAGAGGGGCAGGCAAAGTAAAGGGATGCAATGACCCACACATAAGGAGTAGTTGGAAAAGCAGATTTTTAAAATTAGAGATGAGCCCTAGCCAATTTGGTTCAGTGACTAGAGGTCAGCCCGTGGATGAAGGGTCCCAGATTCAATTACAGTCAAGAGCATGTTCCTCTCTCCCTCTTTTTTACCTTCTTTTTTTAAAAAAAGAAATCAATGAAAAAATATCCTTGGGTGAGGATTAACAATAACAATAAAAAATTAGAGATGACTCATTAATGTTGATCATTCCCAACTGGTGAGGGAAGGCACTAAAGGTCAATTCACATGCTGTCCTGTGTGTCAGGTTAGATAAGCTCCCATGAGGGGTATGTCAACCAGAGTAGGAGGATAACATGAGAACATAATATGGGAAGAGATGGAAGGAAAGATGTTTGGGATGTGACATTATGGAAAGGCAAGCACCTATTCCCCTAAAGGTAACCTGATCAAAAGGCAGAAATATCACTGCGAACAATGACTAAACAATAAACCCAACAGATAGCAATATTTCTGCACTGAAAACCCCAAAATGTGCATTATATCTTACAGACCATGAACTGTACCTGAGATCTTCAATTTCTTTGATATAACTGTGAATCATATTACTGATCTCCTCATTCCCTTCCCCTGCAAGATAAAACACGAAGTTAAGAATTTCCTTCAAATTAAAACTTAAACAAAACAGAATGGGAGAAAAACACCAAGCTACAGAAACAAAATAATAATGCTTTAAGACACAAGTTCTACAGCAAATGTTCCACCCTTAACTACACAGGCAGACAGCAAGATAAAAATAGCCAAGTAAAGGGCACATTTTGTTCCTGTAAGAATGTATTATTTACAAATTAAGCATTTAACTGAAAATCATGGATTGTACATTTCTACTTCATTGTACATAGATTGACATTTCTACTTCAAATGTTCGAGATGATTAATGAATGTGCCCTTTTTACTCATCCCACCCCGCATGCTTACCTGCTCTGGCAAGAACCTGGTTGGCCTGATCACTAACAAGCTGGGTGATTCTGGTCCTCAGTGCATCCACCGTCTCCTGCATGGCTTTAATTCTCACACGCAGGTTGTTGTTCTCAGTCTGTAGCATAGCATTCTCATGAAACATGTCATTGATGCTTTCCACTCCCTCCTCATCAATTATTCTTTTACCCTGGGAGAGAAAAACATTTCCCTGTTGGTTGAGGAGCCTTAAATACACAAGAGATTTGCTTATGGATATTACAGGACTATGCAGTTCTACAACCAAGAACGCTTTGTCTTAACAGCCTCAAGGCAAAAGCGATCCTTTTACTCTACAGCATCCTTCCGTGGCAGCTCTGTCAGAAAGAAATTGATTGAGCACTGGCCAGTGTGTCTCAGTTGGTTGGAGTGTTGTCTGAGGCACTGGAAGGTTACAGGCTCCATTCCCAGTCAGGGCACATACCTCGGTTGTGATCAGGCCTGAACAGGAGGCAATCCATGGATGTTTCTCTCTCTCTATCTCTCTCTCAATCTCTCTCTCCCCACCACACACATCCCTTCTTCTCTCTCTAAAATCAAATTTAAAAATAATAAATTGACTGATTAAATAGGAAGCCTTTTGAATCAGGTTGAGAGATAGACTAAACATTATTAAAGGCTACCCACAAGGAAAACCAGAGAATTCTACCTCCAAAAGGAAGAAGACCACTATCATGGCAGACAGGAGGCTCCAGAGAAACACGTGTGCAAGCCATCACAAAAGGCATCATTTTGTTCACAAAATGTATCACAAAATGCCAAGTCAAACCCAGTAGCTTACTGTTTTGTACTCCATGAGCTCCATCTGAAGGCGTGTGATCTCACTGCGAAGTGCATTGATCTGCTGACTAGCTCTGTCCTGATTGACCATCACCTTGTTCTTGATATTTCTAGCTCGATTGGCGTATTTGAGAGTATTTAAAGTTTCCATAAAGTCCCTGTCTGAAGGGCTGACACATGCTATCATGATTGTTTGGCTGAAAGTGACAAAGAAAAATTAGGTTTACAGATAAAGGCAAATAAAACACGGCAATAATCACTTTTTAAATCCCTGCCTTTTAAATAATATCTTCTCTTTTACACTGATAACTTAAAAATAAAAGCAAATGTAAAAGCCCCTATGCTTTACAACTATCTTTAAAAAAATGAATTTATATTACTCTTCTTTGATCCTTAATGTTTTGAGAACGTATAAGTACATATATTTATTTCTCCCCTCTTTACAAAAAAGGAGTTGAGGCAATGCACACAGAATAATTCTAAAACTTAATCTACCTATGTTCCAAATTGAAATTCAAAAATCATTATCTACTTAATATTTGAGGATTTAAACTTTTTTCATTTTTATTTAATCACTTTGAACCTGATTTTTGTTGTTAGCAAAAAATTTCGTACTAAAAGCCTACCACCTGAACAAGTGTATAATATATACATATGTTATAAAACATCATTTGATTGGTCAAAGTTCAGGCCAGATTACACAGGAGAGAAGGGAAACATTACAGTAATGATAAATTGCTTTACCAACCAAAGAATAGAATAGTAAAATGCTTAGTATGCCCCAGCTATTATGTCTGTCAATGAAACAGACAAGGACATTCTAATCAGCCCTGACACTGAAAGAGTGAATTTATCCTCTCCAGTAGGGAATTCATGCCCATCAATTCTAATTAATCACCTCCGAGTCTCCTGCTTCCACTCCTGCCTTCTGCCTCCCCCCAATAATTTCAACACAGCACTCCTACTTACCATTTTAAAAGACATCCCAATACATCCATCTTTTCCCCTTTATTGACTGTTGCTCATCCTTATTTATCCTCAGTCTTATTATTATTCAAGGTTAACTCAAGTATTATCTCATCCAAGAATCCAACCCTCACCTGACTGTACTTATTCTCTCTGCTTCCTCATACCCCCTGCATATCTCTTTTTTATTGGTTATATTATTATTCTTATTATTATTTTCTCATGCTTTATATTTTTCTGCACTTTTCAGAATTTTTGCTATAATCTTGTTATAACTTTATAAATGTATAAAAATCCAGCTTCACTTTTAAAAATAAAAGTTGCTAGATTATGCATAAAAATATATGCAGCTTGTGTCCAAAAATATCTTTGATATAATTTTTCTTTTAAGAATAATTTATACAAAAGTCATAAAATGAAGGTCTTCTATTCCCCCAAAGCTCATACAAAGTACAATGCTTTTAAATTGAGTTCAGTCTTAAAATTCTAAGCAGGAATTGATGCTCACTAAAGAGGTCTTCTTGTTTGAAAAGTTATCACCTACTAAGGAGATGGATGAGAAATACCAGAGATTCTTTAGCTTGAAAACACTAAAACAGACTCTGTTAACTGTAAAAGAATAAATACAAACATAAGGGCTATTTGAACTTGCTGAATTGTACTGATTGAATTTAAATGCCAAAAATGTTTCTACTCATAAAGCCAACATGTTGATGTTTATAAAAAGGAATGCATTACAAAATAATGTGTTTAGCTGATGAAACATCAGAATAATTCAAAATATGAAAAGAAGGAATATCAGTGATGCTGACAAGAGTTCATAAACAGCAAACGCCCTGTGTTTCATTCAACTGACATTTTTAGAAGTTTTTCCACATTCAAAAAAAAAAAAAAAGGTTTAATTTTTAGGAGACTTTGTAAAATAGTATAAAGCATATTTAAATTACTTTGTTTTTACTTAGACAGCATTTACTAGTATTTTTCAACAAAATTGTACCAGGTATAAGCTAGGTGAGAAGCACTTAAGCAGAACAACAGTAAAGTAGAAAGAGCACGGGCTATGAACTTCATTTACAAGTTAAGTGACTGAATCAATGACTCTCTGGATTTCAATGTTCTCATCTACAAAATATGAATAATCATACCTACTTCAAGGGAGGGTGTAAGGACTATGTGAAATAACAATATATAGAAAGTGACATACATTTCCGGTCGTTGGTAATTATTAGTTCCTCATTCTATCAATTTGCTTTATAATGAAACCAGTTTTTAAAAGTCGCTTTGCAAACTTACATTAATAATAATGAATAACTGAAATTCACAAATATGGGTAATCACGTACGCATACCTGTTACCCCCGAGGGAATCCTGGAGCAGTCTTGTCAGCTTAGAATCTCGGTAGGGGACATGGGTGGCCCTCTTGCTCTTGTCTCCCAATGCACTGATTACATTGCCAAGTGCCAGCTAAAAGAGAGAGAAAAATGATAAAAATGCACTAATTATAACACTTTTAAATAACAAAGCCTTTTAGAGAATAGTATGGAGACATGACAGAATTGGAAGCAATTAGGTCTGGGCTTTTTTGTTTTTGTGGGTTTTTTTTACATTTATATTTTGAAGTAACAAAGTTTTCTCTATTGACTATGAAAAATTTAGTACTTATATGTATTCATTACTCACAAATGCTTAAACTTCTATTCAGAAATTTTCTTTAGAGATAAATAAAAGATTGATGACTTTTAACCATCCCTAAAATCATCAGACTACTAGGTTGTGTCCCCATAAAACTGTCAATTCATGTTGCAAATTCTTCTCCTCAACTCAGTGAAGAACCAAAATGTTTAAGTAGTTCAATAGTTTCATGACACTATCTTGTTGAAATATAGCCACCTTTATGGGAAAACAAACTCTGCTTTAACCAACATAAACATGTCACTATCATTCCTCTGGAAAAGGTATTCCTAATGTCAGTATGGCTGTCTTTAGAAATACAATGACTCTATGAGCTAAACATCCAATATGGAAAGGAAGTAAGTCAAATCACATAACTCTTTAGCCACCCCTCCTGCTACTCTTACTGCTTTCCTCGCTGTCACTGAGCTGGCCCCCACGGCATAGCATTAGCCTAAATGTGGGTCACACTTCCCTTCAGTGATGTAAACATCTCTACCCATGCCTCTGTTAGGGCCAGCGGAGCATGCAGAGAGGGGCATCAGCATCACACTGTCTCCTTGGCTACAGTTTGGACTACTGGCCGCACTGAAACTTGACCAGATATACCTGAGCATGCTTCAATAGCCTAACCAGGAAAACAGACCAATGGCTTTTGTCTTTTCTTAATAGGACAAATGTAAATACCACCATAATTTTATCTCCTAAGTAATTCAGAACAATACACAAAATTCAGGTCCCAGGTCACTCCCTTAAACACAAAACTCAACCATATGGTGGGAGCATCAAGATGGGTATCAAGATGGAGTTGGGAGGTCTGGCTCTGTCTAATCAGCCTCAGTTATTAATTCCCCCACAGAAGGGTTGTCATCATACGGGAGCAAATATGGGGCAATGGCAAGAGAGGGACACGTGATTGGAGGCCCCAGCTCCAGGGAGGCAAGCAAAGTAGAAATACTTGCTGTGATGCTGTGAACCTCACAGAAGTATGTCATTACTTTTATGTAGGAACAAATGCCCAATTTTATAATGAAGACAATAAGAAAAGATTTATTACACAAAAAGTTACTCTAAAAATATTGTCTTCCAACCCTGGCCAGTGTGGCTGAGTCGTTGAGTGTCATCCCATCTGTCAAAAGGTTGCTGGTTGACTCCCAGTCAGGGCACATACCCAGTTGCAGGCTGGATCCCCAGTAGGGACTGTGCAGGAAGGCCCCCTTTCCTCTCCTTCTCTCTTATCCTTCCACAAAACAGAAACTTTATGCTAAGAAACACAAGATGTTTTCCAATAAAAAGCACCACTAGGTGGCAGAGTATTAAAGTTAATTCCTACTACAATCTAAAAAGTTAACATTTGAAAAAATCCACTAAAAAACATTTATTATAATTCCCAAAATAAAGAGACTGTCACAAAATGTGAGGGGGTGAAATGCTACTTTGAAAGTCACCCTGTGCCATAATGAAAATTAAATGTTGATACTGACAAAATGTTTTCAAATGTGGAATTTTGTAACTCCCTTCCACAATATGTACTATTTTCTGAACATATAAAATTGAATCCAACTACATTTACATACATGAAGAAAATCTGAACTGTGGAAGACTAAAAAATTGTGAGGAGGTCAAAATTCATGGCATTATGCCTAAGCTTCTGAGTTTATTGTAACTCTCATTTCTCAGCTTAGTGTGAGGAGGCTTTCCACTTGGGTATTAAGTATTAAAAAAAAAAGAGAAAAGAGCAATGGAGCATCTTAGTCTCAGTCTCAGTCTTACAAGTCCACAGTTGATGGAAATGCCTTCTTTTGCCCTCTCGCCTGTGGCTCCAGTTCGCTTCAGTCTTTCTGATCCTGCCAGATCAACGAAATGGAACTTTGCAGTCAGGGTTTCAAATTCATTCATCTGTGATGATTCAGAAATCACCTTGTTATCGGTACCATTTTCCTGTAATTGAGGACAATAATTGAAAATATTTTTATTAATGTGATACTATATATCTTCTAACCCCTTTCCCCTTTATGTGTGCGAACCCTTTTCCCCTTGTGTGTGTGTGTGTGTGTGTGTGTGTGTGTGTGTGTGTGTGTGCCCACACACACAGGCATATAGCCAAATGATTACAAATGCAAAAATGTCTGCTGGCCATTAGAAGCTCACCACAAAGTCAGCAAGAAACTTGACAGTCAGAACCCAGCTGTTACAAACTAAGACTTTGCTTACATTAATAAAAGAACACCTATAGCACACGGACCTCAAAAGCAAAGCATCTCGGGTGACTACCTCCATCACCACATGGCCATAGCTTACTGTCCAGTTGCGTAGACACATATCCAAACATTTATTTCAAAACCTTACACAGTTAGCCAGCTTCAGCTTAAACAGGATCAGAGGCATCTCATTGGGAAAGAAAATAATTAAACAAACTAAATGTGGTTCATATGTACTCTTCTCCTGGGACTTATGTGACTTTAGGGAAAGTATGACTGAAAGTTGAAGAAATCAGAGCTGGTAACTCACAGCATCTATTTGGGGACACATTCTGGTTTGACACAAGTGGATGGTAAAGATGGCATGCGAGCGAGAGCTCTGAACATTCATCTGCGTGCTAGCTGTGGTCCGGGACAAAGCGCCCAGCTTCAAGCACTGCATCATCTGGAAAAGGGGAGGAAAGGACAATGTTGAAGCAAGGTACCATGCAATCGGAAGACTGAGCTAATGCTAAGGATGTAAAGGATGTGGACTTTCATATTATTTTAGCTACATGCACTTTTTGAGCTGAACTTCTCAGCATAATAGCGTATTATCTTTTAAATAGGAGAAAACACTGAGATTCCATTGTTTGCCTTTTGCTGACATTTGCAGCTTTTATTCCAAACTGCTACAGAGGAACTCTTGGGAACAAACTGAGCAAAATCTTGAATTACTCAGGCTACTCTGTATCGTCTGTCAAAATATTTTTGGGACTTTTCTTAACAGTCTCCCTTAAGGAGCCACGGTACAACTGTATATATGTGATGGCAAAAGGTGCAAAAGGATTGTGGTCCCAGCCTTCCCCTTTAAAGACCTAACTCTCTTTTTCTAGCTGTGAAAGAAAACTATACATGCATTGCCTTGGACTCTTTTGATGCTACAGTAAGTGAACTGACTTTATCATAGCTGTGACATTTTTAAGAATAAAATCCTGATATAAAATATATGAGAAAAAAAGGCAAGGTTTTTATAAGATGTTACACTTAAAAATACAAATTTCAGAATTAAATCTTAAGCAAACTATAAGCAAAGCTGAATATTAAATAAAGCCAAATATGCCTTATTTTAACTGTAATATGAATGTCACCTCTGATTCTGTATTCACAGTTCGTGTTGTGACTCCCACAGTATAAATTCCTCCAGTTGAATCTTCATGAATTCTTATGTTTGATTTTTTATTTTTTGCATCAATATCACGTGTGGTATCAAATAAGTCAAGGACCTCTTCATTGTACAGCTATCAAAAAGAAATATTGCAAGTTTAAATTTAGAAGAAATTGCCTCATGGCTTAACAAAATGTAATACATAATGTTATCTTTCAAATTCATCTTAAAGTTCTTCAAAATGACATATATTTCTTCAAATTAGATAAAAAATGAATGAGGCAGTTATTGTTACAAATTCAAATGAATGACAGGTTTCTTTATAAGAACAATAAAGGATGTAATCATGGCTGATAAGTTGAGAGCTAGCTAAAAGGATCTATTAATCCTTTGCAAGTGATAAATATCTATATACCGTATTTTTCGGACCATAAGACGCACTTTTTTTCCCCCAGAAGTGGGGGGGGGGGGGGGGGAAGTCCCTGCGTCTTATGGTCCAAATATAGCCTACACATATACTTTAAAAAAAAAGTTTTTTTACTTGCCCGGCTCTGTGTGGTCTCTGTGTGCTTGCCCGGCTCTAAAATGGTTCTAAATGCTGCTGTTTACTTTACAGGGTTGATTACATGTGTTTATGACTGTGAGGTTGGGTTTTAATGCACATAAAATATTTTAGGACACTATTTGTTTCAGAATCTTTTTTTCTTCATTTCCCTTCTCTAAAAACTGGTGCATCTTATGGTCCGGAGCGTCTTATGGTCCGAAAAATATGGTATATAAAAAGCCAGCAACCATTATGACACCCACTGAAGCCAGGGAACCAGCCGGATCAGGGGGGAGGAGTGGGGCCTGCCAACCAACCTCCTGCAGCCCCTCCCCCTGGCTGGCCCCGCCCCTGATCCCCTTCTATCCCAATAGGGGGCAGAGCTGGCCAACCTCCTGCAGTCCCTCCCCCCACCCAGCCCCATCCCAGATCCACCACCACCCCTCCCCCCAGCCAACTCCACTCCCAATCACTCCCCCCACACCAATCTGGGATGGGGCTGGCCGGTCAACCACCCATAGGCCCTCCCCCAGCTGCTGACCCCTGATCAGTCCCCCACCCCTTCAAGGGTGAGGCCCACTGACCAATCACCTTCGGCCCCTCCCCCCAGCCAGCCTGACCCTGATCAGCCCCCATCAGGGTGGGCCAGCTGGCCAACCTCCCACCATCTCCTCCTTCTGATAGGCCCGGTCTCGATCTGCCCAGATTGGGGCTGGGCCATCCGGATCCCGCACCCGTGCATGAATTCGTGTACTGGGCTTCTAGTTTAGAAATACAAGCAAACTCTAAGAAATATGTACCAAATGTAGACAAAGCCCAATTAAGATTTTAAGAGGTTTAACTACTTAAGGTAAAAATGTATTTCCTATTGCCTTATAGCCATTCTTAATGTATCTAAAAATTAATACTTAATATTCTGCAAAGTGGGCAATGATGTTAGTGTTTCTGTGTCAATAGAGGCTACTCCTTGGAAGAGGATGCACACACCCTTTTTCTATCAGCGTGCTTCAAAGTCTCAATGCCCAACAACATTTTGGAGAGTGAAAGGGAAGATGGAAGAATACTTTTTTTTCTTTTTCCATCAGTTGCTTATCTTGCTTTTGGTTTTTACTAAACTGGGATAGCTATTAAAATCAGCAGTAAGATAATGTATGTTAATTTGAATTGTTTTCTATTTTGTGCTGTATAATGTCAAATAAAATGTTTCATCAATGACCAAATATTAGTTCTGGCTATCCAGACTAGAATTAAACTAGAACATTCTTTGAACAAAGCACCCAGAACTATAATATTACCCACTATTCACCTAACTGCAATATTGCTCCTATGTGACATGTCCTCTGATTGTCATTTCCCTCCCACCAGACTACACTGACCTAAATAAATCCAAACCTGCTCCAACATTTGGATTCTGCATCAAAACATCTGCCTATTCTTGCAGGAATACCAACTTCTGCTGCCAGATTAGTGCTGCAGCCTTCATCCTATTATTCCTCATGTTCTCTCCCTCCCTTTCGGTCTTAATCACTGAGTTTCCAGAACTTTGTGAGCCTGCCTACATTATAACAGTAATTATAGATAGGGTCCAGAGAGATTCTGAAATAAACAGTATTGATTCTTTTACTCTGTGGACACTGGCCAAGTGTTTATAAACTTAAAAGCCAACAAGTAAGGGATACTTACTATCTATTGTCTATTCTTCCTGCTCCCAAGACCTAATGCTCATTTACTCAAACATTTATTGAGCACTCTGTGCAAAACCTGTACTAGGAGCCAGAAGCATAAAATCATAAAGTCTACGGTCTCAAGGACAAAATTTTAAATAAACTGATGACAGAATTAGTCCGTTACCTCTAAGAATTGTGCATTCACTTTAAAATCTGGAGGAGGAAGCCCATTTTTCATTGCAGTGTGTTTTTTTTCTTCAATGCTCTTGAAAAGGTGTTTAACTGCACGAGAAATAATACCCTGCTCCTCCTCGATGATGTTAACATCAAATCCTGTTCCCATGGTGTATGTTTTACCAGCTCCAGTCTGAAGAAAGCAACAGAGGAAAATAACGTGCTTGCTCGCAATAACATCACCTCAAAGAACAAAAATGAAAGTGCCGCTGAACTGACACTTCTGAACAGTGACAACTGTACGACAATAATCGGGTACTTACTTGTCCATAAGCAAACACTGTAGCATTGTATCCTTCAAAACAGCCTTCAATTAGTTTCTCTATGCAATGAGTGTAGATCTGTTCTTGCTGGGAGTCAATGTCAAACACATAATCGAAAGTAAAGGCTTTGTCTTTCCCCAGGAAGACCTGAGGTTCTCCCGGTGTGACCGATGTACAAATATGGCATCCTTCAATCTTTTCTTTGGCAAGTTGTGGTCTTATTCTGTGAGAAATAGTCAAGAAAAAAATAAAAGAAGATATAATAAGTTGAAGAAAAAAAGACCTAATAAATAGGACAAACATTCCTGGCCAATTCTTTTAAAAGCGCTAATGCCTGCTCCTTCTGTTTTAAAGTTTAAATAGATTATACTGAGACCATTTCAATGTCAGTTACTTAGCGATACCAAAAAATGATGAACAAGAGTAAATTAAATAAATATCTTTTGTGGGTAAATATGTTTCTTCAACTCTGTAGGAGGTAAAAGACTCAGTTAAATAATTCGGCTACCAACATGCTCTTTGTTGCTATTTTTGTTTTAGAGGTTATTTTTCTTATTTTCAGGAAGGATGATATCTTGATGCCCTTTACTCTCCTGTTATTGCTGTTTTTTAACTGAATTCATGAACATACAGGCTTTAAGTTTACAACTCAACAACACATCATCTGCGCACTGTTCCGTGCACCCATCGCCCCAAGAAAGGTCTCTTCACCAGTGGTTTCCAAACTTGTTTGAACACATTCTTCTGTCAGCTTAATGTGTTTATACATATTCCCACAACATATGTGAATGTGCATTCATTTGTAAATGATATGCATGTACGATACCGATTTGCCACATATTATGGCATACACAAAAGCAGGTTTTACTTAAAATTAAAAATAAATACAAATTTCTCAAATTTATTATGAAATAAATACAGTATTTTCCCTCTGAAACCCATGAATCACCAGGTACAGCTCCTCAGGTTTCCTGTCTGTGCTTGGAAGTCCATAGCACCCAACCCCCACACCGATCTACTCCAGATTCTTCCTCTTCTGTTTCTCTTCCTAATGCCAAGGCCTATTTTTATTTTCAAAGAAGGACAGTAAATACAATTACATGTGAACAGAATAACCCAAAATCTGGCCCTATTCTATTCATGCTGTAAATAGGACCATCAGGAACACACCCATCATTGACATCCTATACCTGGGTTTTTTAGAAGTTTCTATTTGCCACGGAGGAGAAGCATCTTAAGGAAGAAAGGAAAGACAACCAGGGATGGAAAATATGAAATGATAAAGGCTGAGTAAAAAAAGGACTCTGGTCCCACATTTTAATTATTTTTAGATACAGAAACAGGCCTATGGAAGTCGAACCAGTTCACCTATTTTTCAGAATTAAAGTCAAGCCTATGCCCAGATCTCCTGAGTTTCAGCCCCTTCCGCTTCATCAGGATGAACGGTCAATGGAAGGATAGGAAAGACAATACTGAGAAGGGACTAGACATCTGCGACCCTGGTTATCTAAAATAGTGTTCTGTACTGCCAAAAAATGCGTTAATGAATATATTTGTTAATGCAATTTTTTCTTTCCTTGATGATAATGGTGTTTTTCCTCTATAAAGTCTTTAACTTCATGTATTTGTTGTAATGGGATGCAATGCTCATTGCGGAGCTAGCTAGGTACAATGCAAAGAGCAATGGAGTGGCCGCTAGGAGACCTGGGTTCTGTTACTTCTGTTCCTCTAAAGATAACACATGGTCTCCTCTCAGAGTCCCGGTCTCCTCACTTGTGGAGAGAAAGGGTCATTTCCAAGGTTCCTTTTAGATCTAACACTATTGGACTGCAGGATAGTTTATTATGAAAAGGAGAGAGAAAAAAATAATATTTAGGTACTGTTATTCAGATTAAATATTTAAATACACACACACACATATTATATACAATAATAAAGCAAAGGGTTTCTTTTATATATTTTTTCATGATTTTTTTACAGAGAGGAAGAGAGAGGGATAGAGAGTAAGAAACATCTATGAGAGAGAATCATTGATCAGCTGCCTCTTGCACACCCCCTACAGGAGATTTGCCCACAACCAAGGTACATGCCCTTGACCGGAATGGAACCTGGGACCTTTCAGTCCGAAGCCCGACACTCTATCCACTGAGCCAAACCGGTTTCAGCCAAAGGGTTTCTTATAAGGAGCTATGTTGTGAACTATAAAAACAGCCCCCAGTAGTAGCAACTTTAGCTTTCTGGTTCCACATTTCCTGTCTTTCTCAAAATTAATATTCTCTTCTTCCCAAACTCCTCTTCTCCTATCTCACTTCATCCAGCCAAGGGCAGGAAACCCAAACAAACCCCATCTCCTCAGGGGAACCACTGTTCCAAAGGTTGCCAAGTCAGAAACAGGAGAGTCTGCCTCAGTGACTCCCTCTTCCCTGCTCTATCTAATCTGTCTGCAAAAGCTATTAATTATCTCTAGAGTAGTTTTTGAGCCCACATATTTCTCTCCTTTCCCACCACCACCACCATTATCAAAGCTACCATTATCTCTTACTAGTACTTAGAGTATTGCAAAAGGCTCACTAGCCATCTAGTCTTGGCCCCCTGACTTGTTCCACTCTCTGTGATAGCAGTGATAGTTATAAAATATGAAGTTGATCAGGTAGCTACTTGACTTAAAACCCTCCAGTGAGTCTCTAAATCTCTCTGCAGCGTCTCCTCTTGCCATGCTCCAGGCTTTCATGACAGGATTTTTGGTGGTGATGATTTATTTTAAACCACTTTCACTAACAAGGTACGCCTTCGTTGGCCTCTCTGTCTTAAAATATGCTGTTCTCTTTTTCCTGGCTTGCTCTTCTCCACCCTGGACATCTCATGTTTTCCATTTCTGTTTAGATTTCACTTCTTTGAGAAGATACCACGAATAGTTTGCATTCCAACATAAAGTCATATCTGAGCCCAGGCTGTTCTCTGTCCTGAAAGCAACCACATTTACCTCAGGATTCTTGACAGAGAGCTTTACTACAAAGCTTTAATAAATCCCATGTAATAAGACAGATAAAAATAAATACACTATATAAATGAAAAGTTTGAAATCAATTCCGTATTAATTTTAAGTAGTTACAACCATTAGGTTAAGTTATAATTATTCTTTTAAGAACAGCTAAATTCTGACTTAAAAGAAGCATCAATAATTTACCTTTTTTCCCTTCATATCGTATTTCTACTATTAGTGATATTACTTGTTCTTTATCTCTCTGTGGTTCTTATGCCCTCCAAATTTACAGAAAATGTTCCTATGGCCAGAGGCACAAGGAACTTCTTTGGTGAAAACATTATCCATGCTCCTTGCAGTGGCAGTAGCTGTAAAGGTTAGAGGAGATTGTGGGACTGAGACCAGTTCTTAAATTGGGTCCTCTTTTCTGTTCTTCACTTTCATTTTAGTGATAGAGAATATCAAATAAGCCAAAGGACTACTTTCAAAAAATCTTGGATAGGACAGAAAAATATGAAATTAAACATTTTTTTTTGGGGGGGGAAGGATGTCTTATAGTTGCTACCCTTGCTACTAGAGTTTTAGTCACAAAAGTCAGCATTTAACCTTTAATTGTTGGAAGAGGCCTGAGCATTCCTGCACATTCTTGCTGTGCAGGACCCAACCCAACTGGCAGGCTCAATGGTTGAGCATTGACCTATGAACAAGGTAGTCCCAGTTTGAACCCCAGAGTAGGGTGTGCAACAGGGGGCCAATCAATGATTCTCTCTCATTATTGATATTTCTATCTCTCCCTCTCCCTTCCTCTCTGAAATCAATATATAAATTGCAATCAATATATATACTATGCAAGCCCCTGACTGCTCTCTTCATGGATCCTTTCTTAAGGTTGCATTTGCAGCCAGGAACCTTTAGAGATAATGCCTTCCACTTTACCAAGAGTTGACATGCTTCTGCTTTCTATAAAAACAGTGAATTCTCAAGCTCAGTGTTTCTTCTTATCCTACTGCTGCCTACATAGCATCCATACAAGAACTGGTCTACCTGCAATGCCTGTATTGGATTGAGAGGGGGGAAAGCCATTCAAATAAACATGAAGTTCACAATGCTTATTGTACTGTGAGAAATGAAAGTCCTTCGCCTGTTACTCAGGAGTCTGTGTCTTCTGATACTATGCATGAAACAATAACAGGCTCGCTTGTGGAAAATCTCAGGTTCTTCATAGTCTTACCTAACATGTACTAACTGTCACTCTTTGCCTGTTTGCCATATATACAATGGTAATGTGATTTCTGCCACATCCACATCACAGCATCTTGAGCAAATGAGAAAATGTGTGGCAATAAAGGCCTATGTAGGTATAAAGTGATGTTGTTTCAGCACCACGTGAACATTCTCCAAGTCAATTCCTTCAGGAGGCTCCTTAACATCTTAAATCCACTTGGGCCTTCCACCTTGTTAAGGAATGCATAATTTACTCTTTGCCTTCCCCACACTATAGCCATGTTTTTCAAAATACCTTTGGATGCCCTAAATCTTTAAAGCAATTAAAGGTAAAACTATTATGTCAGGAATAAAAGGATAGCACAATAGTGAACATTGTCACTTGGATATAGGTGTACATACTTATACATATAAATATGCACACATATGTTACTGTGCAAAGATAATAAAACTGAATATTACACCTCCATTTTCAATGAAAAGTCGTAATCCTAAAGCTAACCTTGTCATAGTAATAAATAACACATCCCCATTCATCCTGCTATTCGTATCAGAAGAGAATATTATAAAAGCCAAAATGGGAATTCTTTCAATATTATTATGTTCACTATCTCCATATAGCCAGTAAAGAATTTTTTTTTTTTTTCAGAATGGAAGCCCAAGTTCCTGAGTAACAGATTCTTTTAAGGGGAAATTAAGTTGTTAATAGTACAATTTTTCCTTATACTGATTTGTTTAAATGCTAGCAAGTAGAACATTGACAAATGACTAATCAATGATTTGTACTTATTGAAGAGATACTGACTTAAGAAACATAAACAATTGCATGCATTATAATTTATAACCTCTCAGGACTTATACACCTCCTCCTGTCTCTCCCCCCCTTACATTAGAAGGGTAGCACTAACATCACTCATTAACCTAAATCCAAGGATGCTGGTAGTCAAACAAATTTTTAAACACATAGTTTTGCAGTACCTCCCAGACTTTCTCACACACCCTCACCTCCCCTATTC